ACCATTCGTTCCTCCTGACCATTGGAACTCGGATGGTAAGGTGGATCTAATATATGCTTCGCACCCGTTTCAGCACAAAAGGTTTCAAAATTCCTACTTACAAACCCTGGCCCTCCATCCGAAACAATTATTTTTGCAACCCCAAACCTGGCCCACAGATTTTTTAATGTTTTTATCACCACTTGCGTCGTTAAACCTCTCACCTCCTCATATTCTACCCACTTTGAATAAGCATCCACCACAAGTATATAGATCTTGTTCTCAAAATCAAAAAAGTCGATGTGAACCCTGTCCCACGCCTGAGTAGCTTTTGGCCAAACACTTTCTTTATCTCTACGAGGCATACTGGCCCAAGAGTTACACATCACGCAACCCCGGTTTATATTTATAATCTCCTCATTCATTCAGGGCCACCACACATATTCTCTTCCCCATTGTTTCATTCGTTCAACCCTTGATGCCCAGCATGAATCATGTTCAACACGGCTTCCCTTAATTTCCTCGGAACTACTCCACGATTTCCTCGCACCACACATTCATCCATTATTGTCAACTCTTTTTCTACATTCTTGAACCTCTTGTCCTCAATTCTCCATGGTTTTCTACCCGCTATACACGCCTTAATTCGTGTCAACTCTCGATCCTTCAATGTAGCACTTTTCAGCCCTTCCCATGTTACGGTCCTCCTTTGCTCATTCTCTTCCTCATCCCCTTCTTTTTCATCACAAATTTCTCCTGCTCCACATCTGGATAAAATATCCGGTAAATAATTCTCTCTCCCACGCCGATATTTGACTTGAACATCAAAACTACCCACCAATAATAACCATCTCTGTAATCTTGGCGATAACATCAACTCTTTATTATCCTTCTTAAAAAGATGCACTAAAGGTTTGTGATCTGTATATATAACAAACTTCCGCCCAATTAAATATTCCCTACACTTGGTCAACCCAAATATTACCGCCAACGCCTCTTTTTCAATAACCGAGTACCTCGTCTCCGCTGACTTAAAGATCCGGGAGAAAAATATCACCGGTCTTTCCAACCCATCTATATAATGTAATAAGGCTCCACCTTCTCTCCCTTATTAACACTTTTTAATAAAAAAAAACGATCAACTCTTTCAACGCAATTTTCTTATTTCAAATATTTTGTTTCAACTCCTTAAAATTTAATTAATTTCCACACTTAAATTTTTGATAATAATTTTCTTATTTAAAAAAAAAACTTACTTCAACTCCTCTTTTTTTTTTTTGATTTTCTACAACTCTTTATCTCCTTTTTTTTTTTACAACTCCTTTTTTTTTTAATCCTTTATTAATTTTATTTTTCAAAAAATTTAATCAAAAAAATATAATGAACTTAAAACAAAAATTTTCTTTTTTCAACAACTTTTTCTTTTTTTAAAAAAAAAACAATAATAATAATAATTTTAATATTATAATTTTTTTAAAATAAAATCAATAAAATGTAATTAATTTACGATAATTATAATACGCAATCAATAAAATGTAATTAATTTAAGATAATTATAATAGGAGAATCAATAAGAGTATTCAAAGATCGATGCCCTGAAGAGTAGAGGATCCGGACGATAATTTGCAAATAATTAGTAAAATAACCCATTAGTATAAATGGCTATTTTATATTTAGTGCCAGCTCTGCCACTTACGCAATATACTGCATAGGGTGATCGACAAATTTGATATCTTATTCTCAAATTACTATTTATTGACAACTTCTTCTTTAAAACTAGCTTTTATGTAAAAAATATCTTATAAGCATTATATTTCTGATTTATTTATACATACTATAATATTCATTTCATCTAATTTATTAAGAAAGTGGTCTTTTTATATCTAAAGTGATTATATACATAAATTATTACATATCTTTTATTAAATAAAAAATATTTTATTATTTCGAGCATTTTTTTTAAATTTCAAATTACTTCGTTGATTATAATATTGATTATATACAATTATGTTGGCTTTAGAGATTAAGCAAATTTGAATTATTTTATTAATTTTAAAAATATTATTTTAAGCAAAATTTGTTAGAACATTTACAACAAAAATTTCCAATATTAAACTAGTATTAGATGCAATTTACATATAAATTTCATACGCAATGAAATCTTCTAATTGCAAACCCAATTTATTGAACTGAATCAATGGGTAACAAGTGGTAAAAATTATTTGGCTTAGTATGAGACATGAATGATTGAAAATGGCAATATTGAAGGAGTCATATATTTAATACAAAAATATATTTATTTTAAAGTGAAACAAGAATTGTGTAAAAAAAATTAAAATTTTTTGTAAATAATTTTTTTGTATCTAATTTGCTTAAAGATGCAAATCCCAGAGCAGGCACTGGCTTGTGTACAAAATCAATCAGTTTATTATTTGATAAGGAAAATGTCAGAGTAAATATTTGTGTTTTAAGCAGACTATATATATATATATATTAAATTTAGACCTATATATAATATAAATTTTCATTTTAATAAATTTAGCTCCATATTTAATACCTTGTTCAACTAAGTCAGAATATATATTTTTATTTTGTAATTTTATTTTATTTGTTATGCGTGTATATATTATATATAAGAAAATATATATTTACATATTTCATTAGCATTCTTTAACTGTTTAATACTATTTAAAAAAGATAATAAATAATTTTAAAAGCATATCATTTACTATAATATGTTTCATTAACCAAAAAAATTTAATTTAACCTTTGATGTTTTATTTAATAATTTTTATTGCCCTTGCAATTGTTAGATAATATCTATTAATTATTTCACCTGAAAATAGAAAAATAGTAGTAATCAATTTTCAAGAGAGTTTTCTACAAAATGACCTAATACTATAGATACATCGTCTGAAAATAAATCATGATAATATAAATACTCTTCCTAAAATGTATCTAGATACAGATTCAATTTTTATTTTATTTATGAAAGGTGTGCATAATGCTTAATTTGATTCTATTGCTAAAATTCAAATTTCGTAATGAGCGTTATGTAGAAAATATATATTATTAATGATAAAAAATTATCATTAATGCACCCACCTTTATCTGTAAACAAATTTTTAGCCATATTTAAAACCCTTTTTATCAGGATAATTGACGACAGAATGGTTAATTAATAAATACTTTATATTTGAATAATTATTTAATGTATTTTTCAAAAGAATTAACGCATCCATAATTTTCTTATAAGGAGTGAAAACACTCTTACTGCCATTAATTTTATTGGATGTCATTAGATTCCACTTTGTAAACCTTTAGTTTTATTATTAAGAATAATTTTGTGTTTTCACTTATTTTTTTTATAAAAATTTATATTTTTCTAAGTTTTGAATTTCGCAAAATGCCCTGAGTTATGGTGCCTTATTAAAATGTTTTTAACTTTAAAAAAATAATTTTCAATGGGAAGAGGAACGTGTTTAAGCTCCTATTCGATAGTCATTTAAAAAAAAATTAATTCAAAATTTACTATATCAATATTTTATGGTTTCCAATGAATCTAGTAATGAATTATTTTATTTCCTTTCAGGGATTGTCTAAAATTATTGATTTAAATAGTGTGACATATATTTTTAAAATAAAAATTATAAAATAAATTGTAATATATAATTTATCTTCGTTGTCCATTGCGTAAAATAAAATTTATATGGTTTGTTTTTATAATGAAATAAGCTCGGACATATTATTAAATGTATTTAAAATATTCATTTTAATATAAAAATTAAAAATAAAACAAAATGTCTATTAAAAATATCTAAAAATAAATATAGATATCTCTAAAATAGTGTCAAGGCACAAATTACGATTTTTATGAAGGTGTATCGGAATGCATACATTTCCTGAATGCCGACCCTTCTTAAAAATATGAAGGCAAATGGCTTATGTCCCCCCTCTCACGAAGATGCTGATGACTTTATAAATTTTACGGCTATATTATTTTGATTATTAAATACTAATCTTAAATGTTCCAAGGATCAGTTCCGAAGGAGTTTATTTTTGATGCTATATAGGAATAGACATTTAGTAGTCTTAAATTTAGGAAATGTAAATAAATTACTAAAGTATCCCAATCAAACCTATATATATATTCAACCCTTATAGAAGCTCATTTGTGAAAGGAAAGTTCGAAGATCAGAAAATTCCTCCATATTGAAATATTACCAGAGGTATATATTATCAGGTATATAAAATAAAGTAAATTAAAACACTCAATGCACCCCAATCTTCACAAGAAGCCTATATGTCATTATGATTCAGATATTTATTTTTTATAAATTCTATATGAGAAATAATAAGGACTATTATAGTCGTTTAAAAATTTAATCCAACCAAAGTTTTCAAATAAGGGGCCTAAAAATATCCAATAAAATTTATAATAAAAAACCACATAAACCTCAACCGTACCAGATCATTGTATAGGCGTATCCAGGACTTTCTTATAGAGGAAAATAACTAGTAGGCGAGTTTTTCTGTTATAAATTTTACAGTAGATGGTCCACTTATTGTAGATCTTTAGCCATGTTATAGATAATTTTGAGGTTTTAGTCATTTCTATTTATAAAAATACTTTTTAATAAAAATTTTAGTACTATACTAGTCGTTATTTTAAAAAATTATTTACTTTTATTTATTTATCTTTCACAGTATTGTTTATAGTGATATATTACATACATTTATTTGTAAGAGTAGATAGGAAGTTTGTAGAGAAATTTTCCCTAATAAAGTGATATTAATGAGAACAGACATGGGGTGATATATCCCACCTTCACACCCATTGGTTACGCCAACCTATTATTCGATAGTGAAAGTTTTAATACCCTTTAAGATGTATTTTTGACTTGAAAATTAGTTCTAATCTTTATATGTCTTTTCTAAATATTATAAATAGGTTATGAATATATTTATTTTTAGAATGGTTGGTGATTAGCTATTCAAATCTAAAAAATAAACCCCTTACATTCATTCAAAATAGCATGGCTTTAGAAAATAATAATATTCCTTATTCCTATAAGAATAACACAATTAAACGAAAGCGAGAAACTCCATCTATTAGTATATTAATCTCTGCTTAGTCATTTCTTAATATATATATATTTATCAATATATTATGATTTAATCAATACCTTATTATAACGTTATATACTTAAACCTTAAACTCATGATTTAATATTTACTAAATATGTAATTTAAATAGGGCAAAACAAACATTTGATTATTCCAGGAAATAAGTGTCCTTTTATTGATACAATCAACAGGTTATTATTTCCAATGACTATACATTATTAACAGGTATGCATAGGAGTGTTCTTGATTTTGATTTTGAAAAATTATGTTCGGTCTCTTTGTCACATCTAAATGTATATGCTTGCTTAGTTTGCGGAAAATATTTTCAGGGTTTGTTTTTATCATTTGATCTTATACAGTCCTTATATAAATTAGCTCACATTTTATTATAATAAATTTTATGAATTTATTTTAGGACGTGGTCAGAAATCACTTGCATATACTCATAGTGTTCAAATGGGACATCATTTATTTATAAATCTTCACACTCTAAAATTTTACTGTTTACCTGATAATTATGAAGTAGTAGATTCATCTTTGGACGATATTAAAGTTCTTAAATTATATTATAATCCCTTAAAATTTTTATTATAATATTTCTCATGATATCAATTAATTAAAATTCATAAATTTTGGAAATGTAAATAGAGTTTAAGAATTTTAAAAATTAGGTGGGTGTGCTGGAAGTTCAAAAAATTTTTATGGAGGGGGGGGTTGTTAATTTTAAATATTTTATCAGTGGAATGAGCAGGGCTAGGGTTAGGTGGATGTTTTATGAGTTAAAATATAAATGAAATTAATAAATAAAGTAAGACTCTATGTTAGCAAGATCCAATCAAACTTGGATTATCTGGACTTGGACATTTTCTTAGACTTTGGCTTGGTTTTTAAATATTTTTTGGGTCTGGCTCAGACCTTGCCAAAAATAATTAAAATTGTTCTGGACCCATTAAATGTTAAAATAGATTCCTGTTATGCTTTCTATATTTTAAAAGATGGTTCCAAACTTTGATTAATATAGCATCTAAGAAGTGCCTACCATTCATTTCTTCCTAGCTTGTCTTCAGACAGAATAAATTGGATAGAATATAAGGATGCATTGGTAAAGTGACCTTTTTAAACATTTTGGATGAAATGTGTGGGGGGGGGGGGGGGTTATGAAATATGTGGCTAATGACTCGATGATGTAACTATGGGGTGTGATTTGAGGGGAGACACCCTTTAATCCAATAAGGTTTATATGATCCATAGTAATTTAAAAAAATAAAATTAATATTTAAGTTAATTATTAAATTATTTAAAATATTTTATAAATTGATATATAAATTAAATTTTTTGAGAGATAGTATATGCTTATATTGTATATACAGAGACCTGCAGGCCCGGCCCTAAGCCTGGCCATATTTTAAATTTTTTAAATATACCCGGGCCGGGCCTAATAAATTTTTTTTTAAATATATCCGGGCCGGGCCTAAAAATTTTTTTTTAAAATATATCCGGGCCGGGCCTAAGATTGTTAAACCCGAGCTGGGCCTTAATATTTTTTATAAAAATTTTAACATTATGAGTTAATGGTTATAAGATTATATTATATTATAGTTATGATTAATATAATATTGGGTAATGGTTAACACACCTAACACCCACAGATCGATCTAATTATTAATTTCCTGCAAATTTATTCAAAGTATTAATATATTTTTTTATAATTCATATCTAAATTTTTACAACATATTTTACCAAAACAATCAAATAAAGGAATATCTTAAATAAGCCCCAATATTCAAGTATTAATAATATATTTTTTATAATTCATGGGTAATTCCATGACAAATCGACCAGTGATTCGACCGACCATCTCAAAAATGAAAAAACTTGGCATGTTAGTTATTTATGTTGTAAATGATAATAAAATCCAAATTTTAGAGCCCCAGCTCAACCAGATCCAAAGATATACGCCTTCAAAGTAGAGAATCGCGTAATGCGTGATTTCTTATATCTTGTTTTTCTTAAAAAATACTTAAGATAGAAGTACAAATAATATATCACTTTATAGCCCTTAAAATTTTACATTGGAAAATATTGAAAAAAAGTTAAAAAATTTTAAGTGTTTTTGTATTTCTGGTAAAAATAAAAAATTAACATTCCTGGGAAGGGATTTTTTTTTGGTGTTGATACTCTCTAAAAATGTTTATTACCTTTATATTAAACTATTTAATGAAAAATCTCGATAGCCATTTTTGTTTTTTTTTATTAAAATTTTTATTATTTTCTAAATAAAAAAGGATAATATAGATGGCATTATACTAAATTTATTAATAATATATTATATTTAATAATAATATATTTTATAGCGGTATTAAAATCAAAAGAAATCGATTAAGTATAACCAGTATGATGTCCTGGAGCAATAAATGAGGAAGCGGCCCATATAAAGATACTTTAAAATTATATTCAAGCTATTATAAAAATATATCTATTTATCGCAATCCATTTTGCGCTTAAATACAAATTCTTGAGGCCGTAATTTGTATATATTTCACACTTCTGGATCTACTATACTATCGTTATTATTTGAAATTAAAGATTTTATCATCTTATTTTATTTTTCATTCCTTTCTTTCTATTAAATTTATAATTATCAATCATGATTGAAAAGAACATAAGGATTAAAAAAATATTTCTTTTTTTAAATTTAAAAAATTGTAATAATGAAATCATTGTGTAGTAATCCATTCATTAGAGAAGGCCATAAGTCCATTTCAAAAAATCTACAAAAGGTAAGTTTATTTATATTATGGGATTCTGGATTTTTTACTAATATAATATCTTTTTTATTATTGGATATCGTGATTATTTTTATTATATATAAAATTAAATTACACCAAAGATGATTAAAAAATCCAAAGGTTTATTAACAATAGGCCAATCATTATGTCACTCATGTCGCTTATATTTGATAAATATGGAATCCATTGAGGATATATCTGAAAATGAAGAGCCCGAACTAGCCCCATCCACTTCAACTTTGGATATAATAAATGTATCGCTAGAAGAAATAGGCCAATCCCCAATAAAAAAGAAAAGAATTGGAGAAAAGAAATATCCGCAAGAAAAACTTTAAAAAATAATAAAAGCATTAAGTCAAAACATATTAAGAAGCAGCCTTCCTGAGTTTGATATACAAAATAATAAAAATGACGAACTTCTTCAAAATTTAAAACATCATTATCCAATTATTTCTAAGGAAAAAAAATATCAACTCCTTAAATATTGCCCCCTTCTTGGACCTCTAAAAAAATTGAGATGGAGTTCAAAGCCACGAATTACTTGGTAAGAAAATTAAAAAAACTAATAGAATTAAAAGGATTTATGTCATCTCCCAATATAAAACCTGGGCAAACAATTGATCAGGAAACCGTGAATATTATAGAAAAATTTTACTCTTCTGATGAAGTCAGTCGCGCGATGCCCGGGAAAAAAGACTATAAATCCATAATGATCAAGGGGAAAAGAGAGCAGTCTCAAAAAGATTAATTTTAAACAATTTAAAAGAATTATATGAACGATTTAAAGAGAGGTACCCGATAATTAAAGTTGAATTTTCTAAATTTGCAGATTTACGGCCAAAAAATTGTATTCTGGCTGGAGCCAGTGGAACACACAGTGTGTGTGTTTGTGTAATTCATCAAAATTTTAAGCTTATGTTTGTAGATGCTAATTTGGCAAAACTATTAGCTATGCCAGAATATCCATTACATAACTATAAAAATATTTTAGCTCAAACAATATGCAATCCAGCACTCCCTATTTGTTATTTAGGAGATTGTAACTATTGTCCAGGCACATTCTCAATTAAAAAACAATTAGATGTTGTATTTGCCCAAAATGACATAGATCATATATCCTTTAAACAGTGGGTGTCTGTTGATAGAAGTAATCTGGAAACAATAAAAAAATCTTTTCAAGAATTTTTAATCTTTTTTTTAGAAAAAATTCCACCTATGTTACGTCATTCCTTATACTATTATTAAAATTAATATAACACCATCTATATTATCCTTTTTTATTTATAAAAATTTTAATAAAATTAAAATTAAAAAAACAAAAATGGCTATCGAGATTTTTCATTAAATAGTTTAATATAAAGGTAATAAACATTTTTAGAGAGTATCAACACCAAAAAAATATCCCTTCCCAGGAATGTTAATTTTTTATTTTTACCGGAAATACAAAAACACTTAAAATTTTTTGATTTTTTTTAAAATATTTTCCAATGTAAAATTTTAAGAGCTATAAAATGATATATTATTTGTAATTTTATCTTAAGTATTTTTTAAGAAAAACAAGATTTAAGAAATCACGCATTACGCGATTCTCTACTTTGAAGGCGTATATCTTTAGATTTGGTTGAGCTAGCACTCTAAAATTTAGAATTTACAAAAATATACAAAATAAATAACTATCATGCCAAGTTTCGTTTATTTTAAAGATGGTCGTCCGAAAATCGCGTTTTTTTGGTCGATTTGACGTGGAATAATGACCCTCATATCTAAATTTTTAGAATATTTACCAAAACAATCAAATAAAGGAATATCATGGCACAAAATACTAATGATATAATTAATAAAATTAAAAATAATATTTATTCTTTTAGAAATACAAATAATAATTTAAAATCTGAAATATGGGCTAAATTTAACATCATCATAGATGAAAATAAAAAAAAACATTGGCTACGTACAATGTAAGAATTGTTCAAGTATATTATCTTATAATTATAAACATGGTACATCACATCTAAAAAGACATAAATGTGATGGTAAATCCATGAAAATTAATAAAAAAATTTTACACCTGAAAAACCAACCTATAAATGTAATATAAAATATTTAAAAATTAGAAAATAAATAATATTAATATTGTGCAATTAGATTATATTTTCAAAATACTATTTATTATACATGCATTTTTTTAAATAGCGATTTATTTTTATTTTATAAATTAAATAGTAAATTAAATACAATATATTATATTCTCAAAATATTTTCCATTTTTATAAATTAAATATTAGTTTTATTTTTTTTAAATGCAATATAAAATATGGTATATGCTCAAAATATTATTACCATTTTTATGAATATTAGTTTTATTTTTATAAATGCAAAAAAATATAGTTATATGCTCAAAACATCCATTTTTATAAATAACATTTTTATAATTTTTATAAATTCAAATACAATATTCTCAAAATATTAGCTTTTTTCATGTATTTTTTAAATAATAAGCGATAATACTCGCTGAAAAATTTGGTAAAATACCTCATAGGTGAATTTTTGTATATACCAGGTCGAATATAATTTTAAAAAATTCCTAGCCGGGCCTGAAATTTTTTTTTTTTAAATATCCGGGCCTGGCCGTAAAAAATTTTTTAAAAATTTATCCGGATTTTTTTTAAAATCTTTCTCGTTATAATAATTTATTCATTTATTTGGGATGGCTTGTTAACTTCAAACAATAAATCTGAATATAATTCAAGCTTTAATTTTATAATATTTTTTTAATTAAGTTCTTTTTTAAAGATTAATTTATAAAATTAAATAATTATAATTTTGACATTTCAAAATATTTTTTTTAGAGCCACTCTTTTATTATTTATTTGTAGCCATTTTTTTTTTTAGAAATATTTTTTGTTCATCCATGATTCTTATAATTATACGATATTATGTTTTTTTTAATATATATTTCTTTTACTTTCTCAAAGGGATACAAATATGTACATTACAAATATTTAAATTGAAATCTTTTTTTTAAAAAAAATCAAAGGCTTAATAAAAAATAACCTTGAAATAGAAAATTAACAGTCAATTAGTAAGTTTTTTTTTTAAAAAAAAGTCTGCAATCAAATTGCAATTTTAGAACTATTCATTTAAATCTGCCAACCCTAAATATTATCAAAAATTCTTATAAATTTCTATAAAAAAAATACGTATTATTTTAGTATGTATTGCAACCGACTTTTTCACTGGAACAAGTTCAGGCACTTAACAAAAACGACAAACTTTCCAGAGCTTTTGACGGCACCCTATATTCACCCGGCATTGTAGGGCTCAATAACATAAAAGCCAATGATTATTGTAATGTCGTTTTGCAGGTTCGGTTATACATAAATTTTGTTCATAATATATGGTACACTTTAGTGTTATTCACCTAATTCTTTTTATAAGCATTTTTGGTATGATATTTATTTTAACTTTACTATATATATATATCACTTTCATAATTCCTGACGAATAAAAGATTTTTGCAAATTTAGATTTCGATGTGAATCTTCAAAAAAAATATGTTTGTTTAAAGTTGATTAACCCGACAATAATAATTAATGTATAGTTTTATCCTTTCATTTCCTTTAATTGCTCATATGTAGTGTTGTGAAACGACTCGTTTTAAGCCGGTTTTTAAAAACCGCTAACTCAATATTTTAGCCAGAAAAAATATTGCCTAAGCTTCGATATTTCGATAATATTATGTCTAGACCTTTGTTCCTTCTAGGAGAAAAATCTTCAGGCTTGCTTAATATTTTTCTGGATAAAATGTTGAGGAGTTAGCCGTTTTTAAAAAATCGGCTCAAAATGAGGCATTTAACAAAACTATTCATATAACACATTTATATGACAATTTATTTTCTTGTTTATATCAAAGAAGGTACTTGAATATTAAAATGAAGATTTATAAAAAAAATAATAGAATTGCTACCAAAAAAAAATAGAATTTAAATAGTATCCAAAATTAGAATGTGATGGATATTTAGGCTTCCATTTTTGGCTAGTAATTACATAGTTAAAATTTATAATATTAAGAATTAGTCGTTAAACCAATGATGTGTAATAATACCTTGAATGACGATGCCAATCATAATAATGTGTTTGAAGAGTCGCTGAATGCGAATCAGCTGGACACGCCATTTTGGTAACCCATATAGTAATTATTCTCATGTTATAAGCTACTATTAAATTGATAACTTGCTTCCTTATCATCTCGATGATCAGGCAATTCTCTATTAAAGTTTGCGTCCGACATAGGAATAAATTGGCCTCTCTTTTAAAGTTTTTAATAATGATATGGGTAACCAAAATGGCGTCCTCAGCTGTTTTTCATTGATGTACACTTTTAATGATTTTTTTATATTTGAAATTTTTACCTTACATCAATCAGTCTCTTTCCCACGTTCCTCCTCTGAGAGATTACTTTTTGCGGCCAGACAACTACCAGAAAATCAACAGACCAGCAGGTGACATAGCTTTCCTCTCAGTTTCGAGGTTTGGAGAGCTCCTCAGGAAGCTCTGGAATCCAAAACATTTTAAAGCACACGTCAGCCCTCACGAGATGCTTCAAGCCGTGGTGCTGTGCAGCAAGAAACGTTTCCAGTTCACTAAACAAGGTTTATTGCCTAATTATTCTTTCTCACACCCTATACTTATTAATGTATATTTTTGACATAGTTTATATGGTATCTTATTTTGTCAATTAAAATTAAGATTTTCAAATATTGCTTCAAAACCGATCCTATATTTATACTGATTTTTTACCACCCCCCTCTCACTCCTTTGAATATTTTATGCAGAAAAGGGAATTATGCATTTAATTTAATATTTTATTTCTACTATTAAGACTATAATTAAAAAAATATATATTTAATAATATATCCATTTTATGTTGATATGTATTAAAAAATTGTAATATTTAATATATAAAATTATAATATATCAGATTTTTTAAATAAATATGAGAGCTGAGCTTCTAGATTATCTGGCTGTAGGCTTCTACGATATCAACTATCTATATCCCCTGTCGTAATGAAGGCAGACTCAGATGATTGTGCATTTGCATTGTTTAGAAAAAAAAATTATTTAGAAAATATTATAATAATGTAAAATAAGTATATATAACATAAAATAAAATAAAATAACAAAAAAAAGAAAAGAAAATAAAAAAATCGGACCGGTTTTTACCGGTATCGACCCTATCCGGTATTTTGGAAAAGACTAAATATCGGTCCCAATCCTATATTTAATATCTGCAAAATTTATTATATTTAAAAAAATATATATTGTTAGATTTATCACTATTAATGTGAGTTAATGTCCCATTGCTAAATGCACCTTTTAGGCCATGGTAAGGTGATTTGCAAATAAAGGCATTTTCTGCAAAAAGTATAGTTTAAAAAAATTTCACCCGTTGAAGTCTTGAACACTGGCCCATAATATCGTGTCTTAATATCTTGCGTCATCTACAAGTTTTTTTCAAATTATTCTGCGTTTTTCATTATGAAAGACCCTAGGAGCTTCTGTATTAATAGTTACAGTTTTAAGAAGAAGAAAAAAAGACATTTTATATTTATTTATTTTTTAAATATATCTTAAAAAAAATATCTGAACCTCGCCTTATATAATGAAGCTAGAACAACTACAACATTATTTCAAAAATTAGTTAAAATTATTATAAGGCCTATAATGAATCATTCAATCTTGAACTCCATTTTTGTGTGCCACTGCCCATCGTCCTGTCATTTATATTTATTTTTAAAAAAATCTTAATCCACCACTAACCAGCCCGGCATAAAAATCTAATAAGTCCAGGTTCCAGTGAGTGGCACTGTTAATTTAACCGAGCAGTTAACCTTGGCTAATCCATCCTTTCTCATTTTTCTTTCTTTTGGGGAATAGATTTTGTGCATATTTTATATATAATATTCCATTCTGTATTTAGAAAACCTAATAATCTCGCTAATATTTTAAAGGGGATCCGGTAGAATTTTTGTCTTGGCTTCTCAACGCTTTCCACCTGGCTCTCAACGGCACCAAAAAACGCGACAGTTCCATCATTTACAAAACCTTCCAAGGTTCCATGAGGGTTTATTCCAGAAAAGTCCCGCCTTTGGATCTGGTAAAAAAAAATCTACTCGATTTCCATGTCCTCTAATTTTTCCCTCTATCTTTGCACTTTTAAGTTTTAACGTTAGTCGCTTTAGTGCTGGAACTAAATGAACCATTTCTACCTCTAAAATTTAGCATATTTAGTTAGTCTCCAATATATATGCGAAGGATGGTACAAAATATATAAAAAAAATGCGATGCAAGCGATTTGTGTTGTTATTTCTCCATAGAAGTTTGTGTGTAGACATAAAGGTATACGTAATCTAAAAAGCCCACTTTGAAAGTTATGGTGTCAAATTGCATTTTAATAATTAAAATAGAGACCTACAGAGATACTATTTTCACGACCCGGCCTGGATTTTTTTTAAAAATATTCTATAATCATTTTTAATTTTTATAGCTAATAATGGCGATTTAAAATTTTAAATACATCCTGGCCCATATACTCGGCCGGGCTTAGAGTCGGGCCTGCAGGTCTCTGAATAAAATTGACGAATTATAACTTTTATTTATATAGAATTATCCTAACTTTAAAATATTATATCGTTCTAGTCATTATTACCAGGGTTTCGAGTTTACACTTTTATCTTACATGAGAACATTTTTTTTATCCCTTCGTTATATAGGTAGGGTTATATCACTCCAAATCTTTTAAAATTTCAATAAAACTGTTTAATAAATTTGACAAAGCACGATTCATACATTATTCCTGGCCATTAATTTTTTACGAACTATCACTTATTTTCGAATATAAGCATCGTTAATGAAAAGTTTGGCGTTCAACGACTAATTTTTTAATTTGGATGATAAATTTTTAAAAAATTTTTTGGGATAGCTAAGGACGAAAGAAGCATTATCTTAAATTCTAATTTACCAACATTTTTTTAAGGAATTTTTTTATTATCACTGTTATTTTTATGGCTTGTTCTTTTTTGTTAAATTGAGTTTATTGAAAAAGTATTGGTCTATATATTTTTTTTTATAATAGTTATTTTTAAATTTCAGTGTTTAAAAATTTTTTTTCAAAATGAATTAATCAAAAGCAAGTTTTTTTTGCTGTTTTTTTTTCACATTTTAAAAAAATCAGTTGTTTTTGTTTTCGTTTTTTTACAGTCCTAACCCTGAGTATGTCTGTAATAAAATAGCTCTTCCTATAACTTTGTTGTTAGAATCTAATTTTCAAATTCGATATTTAATTATTTGAAATTTTCGCCGCCCGGGTAACATCCGGGTTTATAAAAAAGGATAAAACAATGTCACGTGACCTAATATATATTTTTTTGAATTGGGGACTGGGATTGCTCCATTAGGAATACCATTTTTTTTTTTTACTTTAACACAAATTAGACCGAATATGGGGCTCGATGAAAGTCTATCATGGGCTAGTTAGAACCTTATAATTGTCAAACAACCAATATATGATTTTTTTAAAAAAATGGAATAAATTTTAAATAATTTTTTTATTTTTTTAAGAGCGAAGATGAAAAGATGATATTGTTATTGACGGAAGAATACAAAGGTTAAAAAAACATATAAATATTTATTTGTTTGGAATCCTAAGAAATTAATTAGAGAGGTGTAACGGATTTTCTTTAATACCCGGTTGACCGGTTTATTTATTTTTTTAAAAAAATTGGTATTTGGTCAAATTGATACGATATACCCATAATAGCGGATAATTAAAATCCCTTTTCTGCCGCTCTCTTCTCACGTAGGACTGAATTATTCTTCGTTTGAAGTGGCCCTTTTCAAATTTACTCCACGAATGCCATTTTCCTTCTTCTAATCCACTTTCTCCGTATTCCACTCTTATGATTTAGCCTCATCTACTACACCAGATTCCCAGGATTGATGGTTGATTTTTTTTTAACGAAAATCCTTTATTTGTTTGATAGATTAAGAATTACACTTTTTGAAAAATAAAAAGAAATATTCGTTCGAAAGATTCATAGGGCTTGCTTATTGCTCTTATGATATCTTGTTCAACTGATTCCCGATATACTTAAGCACACAGAAACCTACAGGTTGGGTCCACTTGGGAACTTTTTCGTAAAATAGCGTAACTCAAAAACTTGGGGTATGCCTAACAATAAATTTTGAACCAAGGCTAGATTCGGCTTAGTGTACATCTTTAACCATGTAATTAAAATTATTATCTAGCTGTAAAAATCACCCTGATGTATAATCGGTTCTTTTATTTATTTTTTGTCAAATTGGAATTACTATTCAAAAAATGCAAAAAAAAATGAACATTCTAGAGAATAATAAAATTTTGTTTGTTATTATATCTTTTTATCCTGGTTTTCTATTTTCAAAAAGTGATGTTTCGAGCTAAATCAATCAATTCAATTCCTATTATTATTCTTTTTAAAAAATTAAAACAAAATAAAATATGATGAATAATGATTCCACGAGATACCTTGAACCATAAACTCTGTAAAAGGGTTCGGTTTGTGGTTCAGCAGAAATTTCCACTTTGAAGGCCAAAAATATCTGAATCCGCGAGGAAAAATAGTTTTCATTTTTTTCTAAACCCAAAATTTGCCTATTTTTATATTGTGTCCGATACGTTCAATCATCTTCTGTATTTTTTTTTATTCATCATTAATCGCAACTTTTTTCCCACGTTTTTTTAAAAAACTTCAGCTTTCATCCGTTCTAACTTTTGGTAATATAATATTATTTCCTCATATTTACCTTCATCCCAGTCAGTCTGATTTGACATAGCAAAATGTTGTGTCTGATTGGTTCGGCCGGTTTTACCCATGGATCTGCATCTATTAATATTTTTTTAGGGCACCTCTTGAAAATATATTTATAGCATTATATCTTTCTAAAACTTGAATTGTATCGCTTTCAAACTCGTTAAGTATCTTATTTTTGCCAGTATTAAAAGTAACTTTACAAATTTGTAACGTATCATCTCAATTTTATTCCTTCCATTTATATTCCACCCCCCACCCTCTACAGAAAGAAGAGAAGAACAGCCATTTCTTTACCTGGCAGTGGACCTGCCTCCACCGCCTTTGTTCAGGGACGAAGTAGAGGGTAACATCATACCTCAAGTCCCGATCCATAGCATTCTGGCCAAGTTCAACGGTATGACCGAAAAGGAGTACAAAACTTACAAGGACTCCACTATAAAACGGTTCGAATTGACTCGGTTGCCGCCATATTTGATACTATGTTTTAAGGTTGCTACATTTTCCTTTCTCTTTATCCTATCAATTAAATGAACGAGTACGAAATATAATTATATGAATTAAACTAAGTTTAATTCATTATTCCGATACTAATTAATTTTTCCCAAATTAAATACGGGGTGTTTATGTCATCTTAATGTATTTTTGGACACAAATCATTAAATCTTCTTTTTATTAATTTTTATCTAGAATAATTATTTCGGATTTAATAAAATATTTTTTAAAAAAATAATCAAATTTTAATATTTTCTATAAACTTTACTTCAAAAAAAATAAACGCGTGCCCATTGCGCTTGAAAAAGGGGACGCGTTATCGTAACTCGTTTACCTTGTGGGAAAAAGGAGCGAGTTACTTGGCTATTCAAAAATAGTAACGCGTTATTCGTAACTTAAAAAAAAATAACAGATACTTATAATATTTTTATTTTTCCTTTTATACGTAATAGAATTTGGAAACCATGAGCCGTACCATAAAAAAATTTTTTTTTAAATATTCGGGCCGCGCCTAAAATAAATTTTTCATTTAATCATCTTCACAAGAATCTTCATTCAGATTAAGACAGAGTAAATATTTATCAGAAGGCTGGATTTGAGCCGATTTTTAAAAACGGCTAACTCAATATTTTATCCAGAAAAGTATTATACAAGCCTAAAGATTTTCCTCGTAGATGGCACATAGGATTGAATATTTATTGGCGATATAATGTTGAGTTAGCCGTTTTTAAAAATCATCTCAAATTGAGTCGTTTAACCACTAACCAGAAGAATAATTACTATTGAGAATGTATTTATAAGAAATTATAATATTAAATCCTTTTTTTTTTTGAATAAATGCTATTTAAAGCCTAAACTAACGTTGCAATCATTATCTTTGGTCGATAGTTTTTGTGAGAACAATATTATTTTTTTTGATATTATTTTTATCTAAATTTTGGTGAGAAATTATATCTTTTAAATCGCATTCATTTGTTTCGGTGATTCAAGTTTTAGCAGCTATCAACTAAGTGATTTGATTTAAATTAATTTTATGGTTTTTTTTTATTTCTAACAAATACACCGATTTATTGTATTTTTTAAAGCGATTTACGAAAAATACGTTTTATTTGGAGAAAAATCCTACCATCGTTAATTTCCCTATACAGTAAATAAAAAAAAAATATATCTAATATCTATATATAGTTCCTGTAACGAACTTAGCATCATTCCTAAGGCCGCATTCATAGTGGGATCCGATCCTACACTATTTAACAGCTGATCGATTTTTAAATCGGTTTATGAGAAATCAATTTTTCTTTATTAAAACCAATATTTCTTAGGTTATTATCGTGCATGGGTGGGTATAGAATTAAAGATAAAATTAATATTATTTTTTTAAAAAAAACATTGATCTCATAAACAGATTTTTTTTAAAATCAATCAGCTGTTTAATCGAGTCGGAACCGATCCCATTATGAATACGGCCTTTAATATAATCCATTTTTTTTTTCATTCTCGAAAATATTTTTTATGGAATTTAATAATCGAATTGAATATCATACGAATACGGAATTATTTTGGAAAAACGAATAATGCAAATATCGTATTTTTATATGTATGCTTAGCACCAGGGTTTAACATTTGCTCAAAATTCAAAAATCTTCACAGATCGTTGCTCTTTTGAAGATCAAAAAATGCGAAGATTTTTTCGCTAAAAAAAATTTTGAGCTTGCTCAAAGAAGATTTTTGAGCAAAATAAAAAATATTTTTTGTAAAAAAATCTTCTATAATTTTGAGAAAATATTTTGAGAATTTTATAATAAAATAAAATCTTTTGTAAGGAAATCTTTATTAAAATATTTTTGAAATTTTGATCTTAAAATTTTTTGGTAAATTCTTTAAAAATAAAATTTTTGATATATATTTTTTTTTATTTTATTATGTTAATGAAAATATTTTTTTTGAATAGGTTGTAAATGTGAGAATTGGTCATAATACCGACTGCATTTTTTTTAATATTTGGAATAAGTAATAATGATTATTTTAAAAATGTAATGTCATAATTTTAATGTTTTATATTTAATGTAAACTATAAAAGTGACAATTGTCATAATACTCATCTCAGAACCTTTAAAAATAATTATAATTAAAAAAGGCTAGTTGAGCATGTTTTGAGATGGTTTCAGTGATTGTAAAGCATATAAAGGTGACAATTGTCATAATACTTATTTCACATATGTTTTAATTGGAAATAGAGAAAAATGATTATTTCAAACATGAATTAATATAATGTGTAAACTATAAAAGTGACAATTGTCATAATATTCATAAGAGAACCTATAAAAATAATTTTATTTTTAGGTATTAAATAGGCGAGAAAAAATTTTTTGAGCATGTTTCGAGATGGTTTTAATGATTGTAAAAATTGTCACAATCGTTATTTTTAAACTTTTTTAAAGCAAGTGGATAAAAATTTATTAAATATAAAATTAAATGTGGATGTACCATAGAGCAGTGACAATTGTCATAATCGTTATTTTTGAACTTTTTTGAATTTTTTTGAAGCAACAGAGTAAAATAATAAATTGTAAACATGTTAAATTGAAATTTAAATGTGGATGTACCATAGAAAAGTGACAATTGTCATAATCGTTATTTTTAATCTTTTTTGAATTTTTTTGAAGCAAAAGGGTAAAATTATATATTTGTAAACATGTTAAATAAAAATTTCAGTGAAGATGTACCATGGAAATGTGACAATTATCATAATTGTTATCTTTGAACTTTTTTGAGTTTTTTTAAAGCAAATAGGTAAAAATATATATTGTAAACCTGTTAAATTAAAATTTCAGTAAATATGTACCATAGAAAAGTGACAATTGTCATAATCGTTATTTTTAATCTTTTTTGATTTTTTTTTAAGAAATTATATATTGTAAACTTATTAAATTAAAATTTCACTGAAGATCTACCATAGAAAAGTGAAAATTGTCTTAATCGTCATTTTTAATCCCTTTTAAATTTTTTTGAACTTACAGGGTAAAATAATAAATTGTAAACTTGTTAAATTTAAATGTGGATGTACTATAGATAAGTGACAATTGTCATAATGGCCATTTTTAATCTTTTTTGAATTTTTTTGAAGCAAAAGGGTAAAATAATAAATTATAAACATGATAAATTAAAATTTAAATGAGGATGTACCATAGAAATGTGACAATTGTCATAAACGTTTATTTTAATCTTTTTTTAATTTTTTTTAAGCAAAAGGGTAAAATTATATATTGTAAACATGTTAAATTAAAATTTCAGTGGAGATCTACCATAGAAAAGTGACAATTATCATTTTTAATTTTTTATTTAATTTTTTTGAACTTAAAGGGTAAAATAATAAATTGTACACATGTTAAGTTAAAATTTCAGTGAATATGTACCATAGATAAGTGACATATCTAATTCTCAACTCCCTTTTTAAATTATTTTAATATATATATTTTGAAATTATCACATTACTCATAGTCATATCCATTATTTTGAAATTAGGTTAATATGATCTTGTTAGGAAACACTTAAACCTCTAGGCAGATGATAATAGTATCATATATGTTAAATTTTTAGAGCCAACCGGAACGGAGTTGAACTAGAAAGATGCATCAATATAAACATGATATTTTTGGGAACAACAAATTTAAAAATATTTTTTCTTTAATCTTTTAAATCAATTTTAGATCTTAGAAACTACTATTTGGATATATCTAGTAAAATACGCCCCCCTCTGATTATACTATTCATACAAAAAATCTAAATCAGTCATATATATGATTTTTATTTATTAAAATTTCAATGTAAACAATAACTTTATAATGAAATAGGTTATATAAATAATTATTTAAAATATCACATTATTTAACAATGTACGATTAAGCTTTATAATTAAAATATCATCAAGTATATCTTTGTCTAATCTTGTCCTTAGAGAGGTTACAGTTAGTGCCAATGCACTAAATGCTCTCTCAACTGAGACCTGGGTGCAAGGAGCAGCAAGAATTATTTGAGATAATTTAAATAATTCTGCATCTTGGTGTTTTCTTGAAACCCAATATTGCAAAATATCTTGTGAGGATGGCAATCTTTTGTTGTATAATAACGATTTTATTTTTAGCTTGATATCGCTATTACATAATTCATAAAATATAGGTCCCTTCTTGCAATCACGCTCAATGTAAAGGTCAAGTTTTGTTTTTTTATAATTACTAGTGGAAGGCATAACTAGAGTTGTATTTTCTTCATGAGGGTCAATAGCTTGCAATTGTTTCCAAGTTGCAAATATATGTTCCTAAAATAAAAAGATGTATATTATAAATTTATTAATTTACCCTGGCCAATATTTTATCTTCTTCCAAAGGATATTTTCCATTTTCATAATGGAATCTAGGATCCATATATATCGCACTACGAAATGCGTCATTTTGAAAATGATAGCTTTCTCTAATGTAAACATTCCAACATACTTTTAGATAAATTATTATCCATTTCCTCCAGCTCCATTTGCATTCTAGCCATGAAGCAAAAAAATCACCTATTACAATATTACTTTTTTGTAATTTCATTGTGAATTTGTATAATGGGAAAAGGACTGATGTACCTAATAGGATAATATCCCATAAATCGAAACTAATAAAAGTTTCTGTGTATAATTCACCCATTTTAGTATAAAAGGTTTTATTATCCATTAGATTTTTCATCATTAGATAAGTACTATTCCACCACCTAGTAACAGTATCTAGCGTGGGTTTCGAAACTTTGTCCATTATAAATAATCTTTTATATTTGTGAGATTTTATCAATTTAATTGTAATCAACCATACTATACATTCAAAAACCTAAAAAATAATTATTTATTCTTTATTTAAATATTAATTACTTTAGATTTATCGATCTTAATTTTTGGGAATTTTTCTTTTGCTGTATTTCTAGCATTGAAGGACGAATCACTATTAGATTCATCTGCTTTCATTATGTTTGGGTGTTGAGAGGTTATGTGTCTTTTAAGATTTGCTAGAAAAATATATTGAAAAATACATTAAATAATTTATTTTACATGGTATTGACTTCATCTTTTTGTCACACATGCTGCACGTAGCTAAATTTTCAGAAGAATCGATTAAAAAATGCTCCTTTAGAATATCTTTGAGATTTTTTTTATTTTGCATTATATATAAAAAAAAAATTTTGTAATTTTTAATTTTAACTTTCTTGTTTTTCCTTTAATTTTTATTTTCACTTGTTTATTATATTTTGAAATAAAAAATCAGGAATTAATGTTATATAAAACAAAAAAAATGAATAAAATAATTGTTTTATTGAGGCCAAATAAAACCCCCATTTATAAATTTGGATGGGATACATTTATTTAATGTTTTTTTTATTTATATTTATAAAAAATCAAATGTTAAATGAAGATATAAAAAATGCATTTTCTTTTCTTTTCGTTTTTCCCATTGTCTCTCTCTCCCTCCTTTATTTATTTTTTTAATGTTTTGCCTTATGAATTAAAGAAAATAAAATATTTCAAAAAAATGAAATTTGCTGGTGCCAGCGAGGCGGCACCAGATTGAAAAAAAGTATTATATAATTTTTTTTTTATAAAATTGAATTCAAATTTTTTTTTAATTTTCATTGCTGTAATGGTACCCAAAATCGATACGTTTTCCCCCTTGAAGGAGGGAGTTTGACGGATGGCCTCTTATTCTGTTTATGGCTATTGCAATTTTTTCCTGACTCCAATTGCTATATTTCTTTTGTGGTTTATGATAGGTATCAGAGTTTATTGTAGAAAAATTTATTTGATTGGGTTAAGAATTATTTGTTATACCAAATAAAACTGAATTTGAAATATTTTGAGAATAAGATGGTTCTTCCTGTGAGGAAAAATCTAAAAGCTTATATATAATAAACAATATAATGTTAATTGGTACCAACATGTAGATGTAGAAAGATTTAAGAGACCTGGAGATAGTGACTATTTTACTAATTTTGTAATTATTAATATCTTAAAAAATGGGAATTTTATTTCCTGGGAATTATATTCATAGATTCTTTTTAATGTTTACCTAATAGATTTTAAATAATAAACTAAAGTTAAAATTTTTTAGCCCGCTAATTGTTAAAATTTTGTAACCGATTCGCACGCACTTTTTAAAATTATTAAGCTAGGCCGCCCATGGACGGGCTTCAGCTAAAAACCTGCTCGTTTCAGCAAATAAATTCTAAAATGATCATAATGATTATGACAATTGTCATTTTTCTATGGTACATCCTCATTTAAATTTTAATTTAACATGTTTACAATATATAATTTTATATTTTTGCTTCAAAATAATTCAAAAAAGATTAAAAATAACGATTATGACAATTGTCACTTTTCTATGGTAGATCTCCAATTTTAATTTAACATGTTTACAATATATAATTTTACCCTTTTGCTTAAAAAAAATTAAAAAAAGATTAAAATAAACGTTTATGACAATTGTCACATTTCTATGGTACATCCTCATTTAAATTTTAATTTATCATGTTTATAATTTATTATTTTACCCTTTTGCTTCAAAAAAATTCAAAAAAGATTAAAAATGGCCATTATGACAATTGTCACTTATCTATAGTACATCCACATTTAAATTTAACAAGTTTACAATTTATTATTTTACCCTGTAAGTTCAAAAAAATTTAAAAGGGATTAAAAATGACGATTAAGACAATTTTCACTTTTCTATGGTAGATCTTCAGTGAAATTTTAATTTAATAAGTTTACAATATATAATTTCTTAAAAAAAAATCAAAAAAGATTAAAAATAACGATTATGACAATTGTCACTTTTCTATGGTACATATTTACTGAAATTTTAATTTAACAGGTTTACAATATATATTTTTACCTATTTGCTTTAAAAAAACTCAAAAAAGTTCAAAGATAACAATTATGATAATTGTCACATTTCCATGGTACATCTTCACTGAAATTTTTATTTAACATGTTTACAAATATATAATTTTACCCTTTTGCTTCAAAAAAATTCAAAAAAGATTAAAAATAACGATTATGACAATTGTCACTTTTCTATGGTACATCCACATTTAAATTTCAATTTAACATGTTTACAATTTATTATTTTACTCTGTTGCTTCAAAAAAATTCAAAAAAGTTCAAAAATAACGATTATGACAATTGTCACTGCTCTATGGTACATCCACATTTAATTTTATATTTAATAAATTTTTATCCACTTGCTTTAAAAAAGTTTAAAAATAACGATTGTGACAATTTTTACAATCATTAAAACCATCTCGAAACATGCTCAAAAAATTTTTTCTCGCCTATTTAATACCTAAAAATAAAATTATTTTTATAGGTTCTCTTATGAATATTATGACAATTGTCACTTTTATAGTTTACACATTATATTAATTCATGTTTGAAATAATCATTTTTCTCTATTTCCAATTAAAACATATGTGAAATAAGTATTATGACAATTGTCACCTTTATATGCTTTACAATCACTGAAACCATCTCAAAACATGCTCAACTAGCCTTTTTTAATTATAATTATTTTTAAAGGTTCTGAGATGAGTATTATGACAATTGTCACTTTTATAGTTTACATTAAATATAAAACATTAAAATTATGACATTACATTTTTAAAATAATCATTATTACTTATTCCAAATATTAAAAAAAATGCAGTCGAGTCGGTATTATGACCAATTCTCACATTTACAACCTATTCAAAAAAAATATTTTCATTAACATAATAAAATAAAAAAAATATATATCAAAAATTTTATTTTTAAAGAATTTACCAAAAAATTTTAAGATCAAAATTTCAAAAATATTTTAATAAGATTTCCTTACAAAAGATTTTATTTTATTATAAAATTCTCAAAATATTTTCTTAAAATTATAGAAGATTTTTTTACAAAAAATATTTTTTATTTTGCTCAAAAATCTTCTTTGAGCAAGCTCAAAATTTTTTTTAGCGAAAAAATCTTCGCAAAAAATTGATCTTCAAAGATTTTTTCCTCAAAATTTTGGGCGAAAAAAATCTTCAAATTTTTATTTGAAGATTTTTGTAAAACCCTGCTTAGCACGGATCAGTCCAAGTTGGGTCCAGGGAAAGTGGGATTCTGACCAAACATAGGTTTTCTAGAATCTCGAATTTCGGTCCTAACAATTATGGGTTGACTGACACAGGGGTTTTTAAAGCAGAATGTATTTATATATTTTTAGATTGCGTCTAAACCTGATTTAACTTTTGTAAGTGTTAATGAATTGACCAAACAAAGTTTTTGGATAGCTGCATCTTAATTCGTTATCGCTTAGGAAGAATAACTTAGCTTTTGGACATATGGTTAAAAATATGTAACATACTTTACCTTAAATAAATATGAAGAGATGTCGAGATGGCTGAGTATATATGTTCCGACCCGGCTATTCAAGACGCCAATCCCGATACTACATACGATCTCATCGCGAATGTCGTTCACGATTCTCTACCCGGACAAACCACCGGAACTTACAGGGTATAACCTTTTTTTTGTTATCCCTGAGCAAATTAATTACTCGCCATATTTTCTGACAAATCGATTTTCGATCAAATATTGATTATTGATCTTTTCGATGATCAGTCAGCCTATATTTTAATACCTTTTATAGAAAATATAAATTTTGAATATCTAGCACGTCATCAGTAGTGTTCTAAAACGGCTAACTCAAATATTGTACACAGGAAAAAAATATTATACAAGCCTTAAGATTTTGCTCATAGAAGGAACAAAGGTTTAGACATATATTATAAAAATCTCAAGGCTTAAGCAATATTTTTCTGGCAAAAATATTGAGTTAGTCGTTCTGAAAAATGGTTTTTAGTCATCAGACATCACAGCATATCTGAAATTTTTGTAATCATATAAAATCAAAAAAAAAATTACCAGTTTTTGTTTAAATACATTTAAATTATCCAAAAAAAAGTCATTATTTTCCTTAAAATTTAATCATTATTTTGCCAATATAGAATTTCTAATTATATTTAAAATTAAATATGGGGAAACTTTTCAATTAAAATATATATTTCCCCCTTTTTTATCTCTATTTTTTTTATAATATTATTAAATATAATTATATGTTTACGGTTATTTCGTTAGGTTCATATTCTTCACGCCGGAAGTGGGAAATGGTTTGAAATGCAAGATCTGCACGTGACCGAAATATTGCCACAAATGATTACACTCTCCGAAGCATATATACAGGTTGGTAAAATAATATTTAGGATACTTTATTTGCGTGATTCAAGCGTTTCTCCCTTCCAGAGTTGTTAATGGATTGGGAGATGATAGACTTACGTCAAATGGCCTATCATAAAATAATTCTTTCTATTTATACGCGTTTTCCTAGTCGATAAAGAGCTACGAAGCATAAATATATTTACGAAGTTAATTTCCCGCACAATATTTTTTTAATATTACCGTTTTAAGTTTAGAAAGAAATATATCAATTTACTTGTATTCAAAGCAGCCAAAGCCAAATTTAATGTACTCCTAAGGCTGTGCAATTCACTATATCATTTCTCTTTTTTTTATGTGTACCTTAATTTTAATATATTTTTTTTAGATATACAAGCTAAATACTAATGCCAAACCCTAGAAGAAGCAACATTTTGGGACATAATTATATTCTTAATTCATAATTACTTTTATACAACTAATCAAATTCTATGTATTATAATATCTAGTATAATAATTTATGTCATTTTGATACAATATAAATATAGTATATGAGAATCTAATTATGTTTTTTCAAAGAAGTGACAGATTTTTCTATTGTATATTGCTAGTTCAATGATATTAAAATTGAAGCAATTTCCTTTATTGGGTTGAAAAAAAATTACTTTTTTTATGTTTGCAAAAAAAAATTATTCTTATATTTTCTCATTTGCACATCTAATAGTTAAAATTTTTAATACTTTTTTTTAACCCTTAAAAATATGGATTCAACATACAATTTAAAACACTGGACTAAAAAAAATCCCAAAGACGTTACTCTCAAAAGACGAGTTCTCAAATTGCCATTGAGGGGCTACTTGCCATCACTTAGTCGAGTTCAATCTACTATATATGATCCCCTAATGGTCCGTGCTGGATTCAAACCCAAAACTATCTTAAATTGGGTTGTTATAACGGGTCGTACTACGCCTATTTTTAAAAATAACTAACTCAATATTTCATCTAGAACAATTATTACACAAGCCTGAAGATTTTGTTTGTAGAAGGAATAGTAAAATCTCTAGACTTAGGCAATTTTTTTCTGGCTAAAATATTGAGTTAGCCGTTTTTAAAAATGGGCTCAAAACGAGCCGTTCAACAACACTAATCGTAAATAAAAATAAGCTTAAAGGTATTCATTCATTTCCATTTATTAATAGTAATAACAAATAGAATGAAATCGCGAGATGGAGGGAATAAAATTTAATTATATATAAATTCTATAAAGATAATAATATATTATTATAAAAACAAGAATATTGGATGGAAAAAAATCAACAATTCTGTTGGGATCAAAAAAAAAACTATAAAATTTTTACAAATGAGAGAATTGTAACGTGTCTAATTCATAACAGCTGTCGATAAATAGCCCCATACTGAAAATTAATTTTTTTTATATATTTAAATGATAGGATTTCATACAGTAGCTATAAAGTGACGTGAGTCTTCGAAAATTTTAAATTTGTTTAACCTTTAAAGATATAGTAGGAAAAAGAAAATGTCCTATGATAATTTTTTTATGGGCTATTGTACCGACTTCAAGTCTAAAAAAATTTCTATTAATTTTATATTTTAAATTGTTATAAATAATTAAAAGGGTTTTTCTGAAACTAAAATAAAAAGTTGCGTGAATATCATAATATAATAAATATATCAAATGTGCTAAATATCATTTTCATTAGAAATAAAAATATAAAAACTATTAAGATTGTCTATCAGCACCCATTTTTTCGTCAAAATTTTTTTAAAAAATGTTCAAATTGATAGGCTGCGTAAGTGATAAATTATTGGATCAATCTAAATAAATTTCTTGGATATTTTCTGTCCAAGATCTGTCGCTCTGGTAATTGAAAATTGGACGGGAGGGTGCGATATCGTGAAAGGGCATTGCTGGTTCTTCCTTTTTATCCATCAAGTGGGCGTCAACTTGGACAAATTTTTCTTACGCAAAAAGTTTTTGGATTAAAAAAATAAAAGGTGTTAACATTTTGGATCTAATTCCATATTTCACTTACTAATAAATTTGAAAAAAAGTGCTAGTTAAACAGTTGAGTTTGTATGCCCGATTCATGCATTTTAAAACCTAACCCTTTAAAATAAATGGAGGTAGCATAATTACAACTACAAAAGTTGTGTACGTCATAGATTCGGAATACAGACATTTTTAGAAATTTCGAAGTGATATAAATAAAATGCAGCGTTACAATGTAGACAATGCAAAGAAGTAATAAAATTTTCACAATAATAATCTCACTTAATATCCAGCACATTATAAGATGGGATTTCAAAACTCACTTATGAAAACATGATTCTTGACCAACTTCAAAATATGGTTCACAATATGCGGTTTATCAGTGTATTGCAAATTTTTAAAATAAAACCTCTCCCCAGCAAAGAATTATGTTATTTACTTTAAATCATTAATTTAATGCGTTTTTCAAAATTGAATTAGCTTATTAATCATTATTCCATAATGTGTTAAATGGCTACTCCATGGAAATTACGCGTGTATTAACTGATTAGGCAAATTGAGTGTATAAGTCCACAGTTGACTTGCTTTTCGTAAACAATAATACATTAAGATTTTGAAAGTTGTATGCGTCTCAAAGCATTATAGCTCAAGAAAAGCTAATTTGCTGTGGATAGTAGACAGACAGGGTAAAGCAAAAACGTAAAATGTTTCATTTACTTATATATTTCCTCTTTTCCCGGGGGTGAGCAGTGATGGCGCCAGGTTCCCGTCTCATCTTTCTGTATACGAATTTATATATTTTTTTTAAAAAAGGAGTTAAACGTGTTGATATAAAAAAAAAAGAAAAACATACGATATATTCTTTCATTATTTCTTAGGGCGATTTATTTTTCGCATTTAAGATGGAGAAAATCCCTGCACCAACCAATCCGAGGACAAACATTTTTTCGGACTCGGTCGGATCTAGATTTTAAATTTGGTTGGACAAAATGTGTTTTCTCGGAACAGGTGGATAGTGCTGTTAAAAATCACGATTTGGGTCGATTTTTTAAAAACGACGAGATTCAGATTTTAGCCAAAATAAATATTATGTTCGCGCCTCCATAATAGGAAAATAGAGTTCCGAGCTTTTCTGCCATCCATGAGTAATATCTCCAGCAGAGTTGAAGGATCTAGATACAAGTATCTAGATATAAAAATGTGGTATCTGTATCTAGATATTATTTTAGACGTTGTATCTGTATCTAGATCCATTTAAAAGTATCTTTTAACAACTCTGATCTCCAGGGTTACATATTATTTTGGCCAAAATATTAATCGGGTCATTTTTGAGAATAGACCTAAATCGGACTTTTTAAAAACTCTAAGGTGAAAAAAAAAATAGATTGAAAATACTTATTGAGAAGCGGTTCCATGTAGGACACCTTGGCTACAATCCGTTTCTCTTTTCTAATCGGAGATTCGAGTACTGGCGCATCTCGACACTTGTATTTTTTCCTCCTTTTAATGTTCACGTGCGCGTCTTGAGGCTTAGCAACTTTGTCATTGATTTCATGATGCGCTACGTCTGCCGAAGAATGCTTGATGATCACGGAAGGCGTTTGCTGAGAGATAGGTTCATTTTGCGGACCTTTACTATCGGTGACACTGGCGCAATTCGAATTAACCGATTTCATTAGCTTCGTGAAGATGGCGTCCAATTTGGTACCCGTTTTATTGACGTGAACCGGTGGCTTTGAGAAATGATTGACAGTAAATATATTGACAACTCTTTTAAATATACATTATACAGTCAAATGGCGTAATCAGTTAAATGTATTGACTGAATAACTTTGTCGATTCGCGTTAGAATCCCGCAGTGCCAGCGGCAACAAAAATTTTTTTTATTCCTTATCTTCCTATTTTTGCCTGATTGATACTGAACAATCATTAAAAAAAAGAATGTACAGAATAGGAAACGATTGAAAAAAAAGAGGTGCGATTTATAATATTTTGTAATAATATTAATAGAATAAACAACTTTTAAATTGTCAAAATTATTGCTGAATATTTGAAGAAAGTAGGGTTGTGTCGATATTAAAGATCGGATCGGAACCGATATATAGCCAGATATTTTTTTAAAAAAACGGATAAGATATCCGATAATTTTTTTTATTGTTTTATGGTAATTTTATGATTGTATCATTTAATTAGAAGGTCTAAAATACAATTTATTTGTTATATTTATCCGCAACAATAAAAGGATTTTAAAAATATCTAAAAAGTCACATTCATGCTAGTGTTGTTAAAAGGCTTCGATTTAGCCAATTTTTTTAAAAAAAACGGTTAGCGCAAGATTTTGAGTAAAAGGTTAATTACTCAAACTTACTAATTTCGTTCACATATGGCAGAAAGGTTTAGAACTTCTATTAACAAAATTTCGAGGTTTAGGTATAATAATATTTTGATTTTAGCCCTTCATCGTCCAAATGGAGCTGTTCACAACAACCACTACAAATTCACCTCATAAACATTGAAAAATATTTTAAATGAGAGATTAAAAAACTTTTGAGAAATAAAAAATACAAAATGCACTGAATTATTAGCGAAAAGTTAGTTGATATTTTTTTTGTATTAGAAAATATCGATATTTTTATGACATTGATTCAAAGATTAGTGGTAAGTCGGCTGGATATCGTAATGGTGAAAAATTTGTGTATCGGTAGAGCCCTAAAATAAATATTTTGAGATTTCTTCCTGTCAAAAATAGCTGACAGGGAAATTTGATTAAGCTGGATACTATCGCACGGGTAATACTAAATATATTACACTGGGCTTATATTCCTTTTTATTTTTCTTTACGATAAGCTCTTATTATTTTATTTTTCTTTTAAACAAACCTTTTTTTTACTAAAAAAAAATCAATCAAAAATTTAAAACCCACAACTATTTATTATTTTTTTCTACGCTATTTATATACATATTAATAAATAAATATTATCTAATATATTTCAAAATAATATTTTAAAAAAATAATAACTATTACTATTTAACTAAAATGACGGTAAAACGATACATGCGCATCCCCCAAAACCCAGTCGAGTTCGGAGTCCGAAACTGAGTAATCCAACCAGTCAATAAATTCTGGGGTCAAATACGTGGCCCTCAGTTCTTCTATTGCACCTTCCAATTCCGGCGCTTGCTCCACATCCTCCGCACTGCCATTCCAGCGGCTTCCATTGTTCCCTGGCACGGGACCATCTCAACCTTAAGCTGCGGAGTCATTGATGACGGAGTCCCTCTCCTGCTTTCTCTCCGCACCCCTCTTTGTGGACACCGACTCCGAAGGTGCCCAACCTAGTTACATCTGAAACAGCGCCTCCACTCCCCAAAAATTGGCCTCATTGCTAGATTCGGACTCCTCAACTGTCCCCACCAACCCGGGGCCTGTCGTTGTCTCATTATCCAATACATTTCAAAATCTTCAAATATCCAGCATCTACTAACACTCATCTTTTGATTAGTGCTTTGAAGGTACTCAAAATATATTTATACTCAATATATTTTTTATACTTATATACATATTCCTAAATTTTAATTCTCTTTATTTTTTATAAATCAAAAAGAATACTCTGATCTCCCAGGCACTATGAAAACAAATTTTAAAAGAAAAATTTCCTTTTATTTATTAATTGAACAATCTGTGAAAACTATTGTCCAAAGAGGTAGAATTGACGAAGGTTGGGATGGCCCCGTGGCCGCGAGAGGAACCAGGGAACATTGGAAACCGCTGGAATGGCGGTGCGGAGGATGTGGAGCAAGCGCCGGAATTGGAAGGTGCAATAGAAGAACTGAGGGCCACGTATTTGACCCCAGAATTTATTGACTGGTTGGATTACTCAGTTTCGGACTCCGAACTCGACTGGGTTCTGGGGGATGCGTAAGGTTCTTGAAGGGGGGGGGGGTAGCTGTCGTAGCTAGGGATTTCGTTTATATTATCTATATGTAGTATTAGTTGTTTCTATTAAAACATGTATCGTTTTACCGTCATTTTAAGTAATAGTTATTATTTTTTTTTAGAAAAAGATAATATTTATTTATTAATATGTGTATAAATAGCGCAGAAAAAAATAAATAATTGTGGGTTTTAAAAATAAAATAAAAAATTTTTAAGGATGATATCGCGGAAATTTGGGGTTTTGGGGAAAGGAAAAGTTTGGGAGATAATAAATCAAAATTAGGAATGGGGAGAGTATTATGTCAAGATTTTATTTGGCAAAAAAAAGATTCTTTCACAAAAAAAAAAAAATCCAGTCAAGAGCGTGACAATATAGTTTTAAGAAAAAGTGTAAAAGGGAAAAGGAAAAACTAATTTATTTCAAAATACTTAATTGGTAAAAATTCTGTTTAAAATTGTTTGTGGTTTGGTTATATCCGTCATTCATCGTAAAGGTAAAAAGAAAAATTTTATTATTTAAGTTTAAATAAAAAGAGCGACTGAGAAAGAAAGAGAGGGTAAAGTTTTTTTTTATTGGGGAGGTTTTCATGGATTCGTAGTGGAAATTGAGGTTCAGGTTTTTTTGTTAAAAAAAATAAATGAGAGAGGAAGGGTTATTAAAAAAAAAGAGAAGGAAGAAATTATGGGTTAATTAGTTAAAAGAAATAAGTTTGGGGAAGTTAGCAGCAGAGGAACTCTCATTTCTTCTGAGAGTAGAGACAGCTGATTATTTCTGTGAGTGAATAAGTAAGAAAAAGAGGATTTTTTTTTTGTTTTGCTGAATTTGTTTCAATTGATTAATAAATAAAAGGAAATTTTTCTTTTAAAATTTGTTTTCATAAGATGGTCTGGACTGGATTTTGGTAGAAATTTTTTGATGTAATAATGATTCAAAGTTGAATTGCACAAAACAAATTTTAAAGAATAAAAAAATAATAATATTAAGATTTTGCCCGTGATTCAGTGAGTTATACGGAAAATTATGATTCTTATTATTTTTTTTATATTTATATGGAATCATGTGATAAAAGTAGTGTTGTTAGACTAACTATCTTTTGTCAACCATAAAAGGGCGTAGCCATATTTTTATCCCAGGTTTAGACTCAACTTAGAAGCTTAATTCAACGCTAAATAAAAGGATTTAGTAAAATTATTTTTATATATATTTTTCTTCATTGCGAGCGTTACTCAATCATACTTTTACAATGTGGGCCGAAGTGTGAACACCCACCACGGCCGCTTAAGACAAATTTCAGTTTAATGCCAGGTAATGGTTTGCGAAGATTTACAAAATAAAAAATAAGAAAATATCATATAGAGGTAAAGAATTATTGTGACAAATAGGGGGTAATTTTAGGGGTACAAAATTGAGTAACAATGTTAAAGATTATCTAAAATGTAAAGCAAAAAGTCAGCATTCATATAGCAGAATAAAAAGAAGTTTGTGTTTATAGTTATTTAAGGGTGATAATTTATGAAATTTAGAGTTGACAGAGAAGTTAACTGGCAATCTTAGAAACCAACTTAATCTAAGAGAACCTAATCGATACTGTAAGATATTTTAGATTTTGAAATTATTACAAGTTATTGAATAATTTGATCACTAGGAGATAACTATGACAAATAAAAAAAAAGGGAACATAAATTATGGAGATTAAATAATTTTAAATATTTAGAGGATAAGATTAATAAAGACTAAGAAGAGGAATATACAATAATTGTTAGAAAAATGTGTTGGAGCAAAAAGTAAACAGCTTCAAAGATCTGATATGTGAACAAGATACGCCCAAGTTGATAGGATTTAGTGAAATATCGGGTTGTTGATCAACACCGATATCTTCACAAAGGAGAAATGGCTCTTGCATCGTTAGAAAAATTAGTGCCACAATCGAGCTCGATTAGAGATCGGAATTTTATTACGGGATCATTGATACGATTTTTGTCGTTTTGTTTATTCCCTTAAAACGACTCGTGAAATTGATGATGATAAACATAATTGAGTACTATCATTTTTATGCAACGTGTGCAAAATTTATTGTCTTGTTGTTTTTTTTTAAAAAACGTGTGTTAAATTGATGGTAAACATAATTTAGTCGCTCTTTTTTTTATGCAACGTGTGCGAAATTTATTGTCTTGTTGTTTTTTTTTAAAAAACGTGTGTTAAATTGATGGTAAACATTAATTAAGTTGTTTTTTTTTGCATGATAATCATAATTTGGTTGTTTTTTTTAAAAAACGTGTGTTAAATCGATGGTAAACATTAATTAAGTTGTTTTTTTTTGCATGATAATCATAATTTGGTTGTTTTTTTTAAAAAACGTGTGTTAAATCGATGGTAAACATTAATTAAGTTGTTTTTTTTTTGCATGATAATCATAATTTGGTTGTTTTTTTTTGCATGATAATCTTAATTTGGTTGTTTTTTAACAACGAGATTGCGAAGCCGCGTCATTTTTTTTTGGTAAAGAGCATGCGCGGACAAGGATTCGTTAATTAAGATGAAATAAAATGTGCGATGCCACAAAAAGGTGAAAAAAAAGATGTTTTGGTATAAATTTAAGATTAAGAGAGTTTTAGATTTAAGTTCAGCTTTAGGCAAGGTTTGGCAAAAGATAAGCATCAATCAATAGCTAAAGGTCGACTACAGGCAAATGGTTAGTACTCGTAGAAGATATGAGTCTACTAGGCTAGTTGAGGGTATAGAAGGGATGTTAGATATTTGACATAAATATATAATTTGTTGGGCAATTAAGATTTAATTTTAACAGAAAACAGGTGATAAAATATTTCAGAAATTAAGAGAGAATTTAGGCAGAATTAGATTAGATGCGATAGCCTTAGATATTAAGACGAATTGGACATATTTATATATGATTTATTGGTATACTGGGCTATATATTTTGAATTTAAGAAACGGATGCAAGAAAAGGTGATAAAATAAAATATATCAAGAGTTATGAAGGGTTGTTAAATAGAATATTTTAGGTAGAAATATGATGAAAAGAACTTGGACATTGAGACTAGGATCAAGTTAGAGAAAAAAAAAACAATAGAATCGATATATCGGCAAAAGCGAATTGTCGCAGAAGACACGGAATTCGGAGATCAGTAGTTATCGGTATACAGGAATTTATGGATCGTTCAAAGGCAATCGTTAATCGTTTACCGATGATCATCAATCGGTTACCGAGATAAAGCGCTAATCATTTAGTATAAAAGAAGGTTAGAAACAAAACAAGCGACTAGCTATAATAATTTATCGAAAGAATTTCAGGGGGACTTCAGAAGAAACGAAGGTCGAGAGGAGAATAGAATGAATCGATGATCGCCGACTAGAAACTGTGTATTGTTGAAAAGCAAGTGCTAATATGGTTCGAGTTTTCGTCAATCGAATATAGCGATATAAAGATCCGATCAGTTACCAGAGATAAACAAGCAACAGTTGAATAAATGGTCAAGTATTTTGTGCGGTTATTAGAAGAAATAAATATTGTAAAGGCGATAACGCGGTTATCTGACACGAGCTGTCGTTATAAGCCCCAAGAATACTAGACGAGGGACAGCCGTCGTTTAGAACTTAAGAAGACATAAAAGATTAACTCAAGATGTGATTGAAACAAGTCATCTGATAAGAAGGAATAAAGAAGAGTAGCGTTGGTGGCAGGTGCAATGTCAGTAAAGCCGACCGAAATCAAAGGGGAAATTCGGTCATTCGAAGAATAGTTGGTCGAATTGAGTGAAGCGGTTGTGGGTACATTTATGATATTATACGCCAAAATTTAGGATAAAAAAATAATACACACCGATGTAAATTTTAATTTTTTTTTACAATAAAATTATTGTAATATTTTTCTGGGGGAGAGATTCAAACGATCATCAATTTTTTCTAGTACATAATTTAAAACTTTTAATATATTTTTTTTTCCATAATTTTATCTCATTATTTTTAAAATGCTATGGGATCATATAAATAAAAGGATTAATAAAAGGTTAGTGTTGTTAAACGGCTAACTCGATATTTTAGCCAGAAAAATATTGGCTAAGCTTCGAGATTAGGATAATACATGTCCAGAACTTTGTTACTTCTAAAGCAAAATCTTCAGAACTAGCCTAATATTTTTCTGGATGAAGTAAATGAGTACGCCGTTTTTAAAAAATCGACCACTAAATTAAAATTATTTATAATATAAATTTTCCTTCCTTACTTACAAGGATTACTCGATCATGTTTTTTACAACTTGTTGAAGAAAATCTCAATAAATATTTCATTTTTTCCTTCTTTGCTTTTCCCGTTCCGAGAAGGAAAGTTTGGTTTATATTCCGCCAAACAAACCCATTTTATTTAATATTTTTAAAATGTTATGTGGTAGGTAGGGGAATACCGATACCATATTCCCGATATTAAATTGATATCGGCCGATTACCGGTCCGATTTAAAATATCGGTACATCCCTAGTGGAAGGAAAAGGAGCGTTTTCGTTAATTCATTATTCGATGAATTGAAACTTCTCTCCCAATAAAAATAACTACAAAAAATGGGAATATAAATCATAGAAAATAAGTGGAATAGAATGGCGACGAAACTAGGCGCGGCAAAATTGCGTACGATTTCAGAGTTTTCTGGGTTATAACTGTAAAAAAGATTGGTGCTTTTTTTTAAAAAAATATATATTATTATTCATTTTTTGATTTTTATAGCTAATAAATGACGATTTCAAATATTTGGTTTTGAAAAAATATATGTCCCGGTTGTAACGTTTTAGAATCACTCCAGTATTATTATTTGACGAGTAAATTCGATACTTATTTTTTCTATTATAAATGTATTTTACATTCCTCGAGTAAGTTTTTATGAGTGTATTTTTGATAATGATATATTTTATGCGGTCAAAATGATCGCGATAATTTCTTAAATATATATTTACATTAAATTTTTGATTTATATTATGTAATATTTTAATTGGGGTATAATAAGCCCATTTATAGATATTATGAATGATAATATTTGTCTGAAGCACAGTTGCCATTGCGACTATCTCCACTTTCTGTTCCGAAGGTCATGACTGTTCTTTCCGAATAAGAGTCAACGGGTTCTCCCAGAAACCCCTCCAGATATCAAGAAAAGATATCCCAAATTTTAAAATGGCATTATGGGGGTGAAAATTTTTCTATCGAAAGGATAATCGGCGATGGTAATTGTCTTTACAGGTATGAATAATTAAAATAAATTGAATTGTTTAATCATTATTATAAATGTATAGTATTCGCTTTATGAAGAGTAAAGATATGGCAGAGCAGATAATTATGATTTGTGATCTCTCAGATAATATGTAATTAATATCCGGAAGGCTGAGTATGCAAGGATTCGAGATACAAAAATTTAAAGGGCTGAATGTGAATGTTATAAGTTGAAGGGATGAATGTTTTATCATTTGCCAAATAAGCTAATCCCAATAAAGAGGTTATATAATTATTTAACTAAAAATCAAATTGTATCTATCTGAAATATCATATATTTTCCCATGTGCAGCTTTCAATTTTAAGCATCTCCATATTCTCTTCATCAAACAATAAATGCCCTATATTCTTGTAGATATAAACCAGAAAACTGTGAATGGTTCACAATAGTAGCAGTTATTTTGCTTCAAGAATATTGGGGAATCAGAATTTTTTCCTTTATTCGATGATGGTCATCATGAAATTTTGTTCATACTGAAGGCACTAATATAATGTTAATCATATTTTAAAAATAATGGAAAATTATCATGGGACATTTCTGATTCGTCAATCAAAGAGAAACAGCCAAACCTCCGGTCATTTTTGACGTGTCAGCTAACAAGTATATTTATATTTTATAATGAATCATTTCCATTCCGATAGTATGAACATTTCTACCAAAAAAGATATATTAATTGAAAATATTAAATTTATAATTAATAATTTTGAAATTCATTTTTCTTTTGTTTGCGAATTTAAATAATTATCAAAATTTTATTATTAAAACAAAACATTTTTACTAATCGGCTAAACCAAGTTTTAGCTGGCTAAAAAACCGGCTAAACCAAGTTAAACCGGTTAAAAAATCGGTTAAACAAAGTTTTTTGCCGAAAATTATCGCTTTGACTTCGGTTTTTTTAAAAAAAAACAGCTCAAACTAATATAAATTAAAACTCCATAATGTTAACGGATTTTCTCCGACAGGAGCCTGAAGATTGAGCCGCCGAATTAACCGACATTTCGCCGTTACCCAACTAAACTAGCTACTAACTAAAAAAATGAATAAAGTCGCAACAGCAAAAAAAAAGGAAGATTACGACTAATTTACCAGGACAATTTATTATTTTGAATGTGAAGCGAAAAAAAAAACGTAAAATTATTTTAAATAAAAATGGATGGATGTCTAAATGCAATTTCCGGTTCTCAGATTCAAAATATTATCGGTGTTGTCAAAACTTTCAATTTTGTTTATGTTTAAAAAAAAGAACCAAGTGGAAAAATTTTTAGCTAAGCAAATATTACCGAAGCCTCGATATTTCGACATATGATGAGAGAAAGATTTGGTTCTCTTTTAGTAAATCTTGTAGCTTAGATAATCTATATTTGGCTAAGTGTTATAACGCGCACAAAGTGAGCAATAGTGCATTTCAAATGGCGTAGTGCGAATTGATAAAAATTACCGTTTGGCGCAACCATTTTTTTTAAAAAAAGGCAAATATGTTTGCTTTTCCATTACTTTTTTTTATTCTTCGCTTTGTAATATTAATATAAAATGTAATATTTAAATAACTTACTTACAATCCCAAAAAAAAGGAATAAATTAGAAATTAAAAGAAATAAGAAGGCAGACGATAAATATAATTTTCGCAGACGAATCATTTTTTTCGTTAGAACTTATTTAAAATTTTGAATGATAAACACAATTTAAAACAAAGGACGCGTTACGTTTTTTTTATTAAAAAATTACGGCAAAATGTAAACGGTCAATTTATGCGCACTATTAGCCGTCTGATTAATCAAGGTTTTTAGCAACACTACAAAATTTGTGAATAGAGTATTCAATTTTTTTTGACATTAATCAAAAAAAAACTACTTGATCTTGCTTAAAAGTTTCGAGTTGATCTTGCTTAGGACCTTCGGAATTTATGTTTAAAGTGGTGTCCGTGATTGGGAGCTTGTCAACGTCGTTTTTGCTTATAGTGGTGACATGACCGAGAGGATTGGTTAGCGAACTGGGTTTGTGAGGAGAAACCAACGTGGGGGATAAAAGTTGATTATTTTTCCGCATGTTGATTGTGACATCATTAGAATCACCAATATGATCGGCATGCTTCTCGAGATTGATGCCATGACCGAGGCTAGGAAGATCGGTATCTGAAGCGTTAATTGGATAATGATCTTTGAGGAGTAAAGGGGTTGTCTTAGTATTCACTTTTTCTTCCTTATTTTTTAAATTTTTAGTGCCAACTCCTCGGGCCTCGTATTTTCTGGCTTGGCGATATGATATGCGGTGTTTGAGCAGCATCTTATTGAGGACTGCTGGGACAGGAGGAGACTTTCCTCCGAACGAAAGATCTTCCAGGTTTGTCAGCGACATTTCTGCAGTTTGATCGACCTTGATCTGATGAGATTCGTGCCGTGTTGGGTTACACTTTTTATCGTTTTTATTGTCAACTTTGGACTTAGCGTGTTTACTGCCAATTTTAGGTCCCCTCTTTTTAGGAAGAACATTTACAGCCTTTATATCCTCAAATTTGGACACCTTGGCGTTTTTTGTTAAAATTGATTTACGAGTAATATAATGCATATTGAAAAAAAAAATTTGTAGCAATATTCAATGAATAAATAAATTTTATTCTAGACATACAGGACCTTAAAGGTGCGGAAATTAGTGACTTTCGAATCTGTAAAATTTCTACAATGCTTATATCTCAAAAACTATTTATAGTAAAAAAAATAAATAATACATCAAACTGTAGATTAAAAAAAAAACTCTACAGGTCTATCATAAGAAAAATTAGGCGCTAATTTGTCTCTTTAACTTCCGGTTTATTTATATCGTTTTATCCGTATTTTTAGGCAGTAAAGGAAGTTGATTTTCGAGAAAAAAATTTTTGCCCTTTTATCTAAACTCCTTTTATAAACATATATATATATACGACGTGAAAACCTCGGCGACGCTATCGGCTTTTACGAAATATGTATCCTTACCAAAAATTCGAATAAAATAGATGGCGCTATACTAAACCTGCAAATTAAGGTTAACATTTTGTTTGAAAATTTATCAATAACAAGATATTTTTATTTTTTATACTAAAATATTTTGAATTTCTGGGCCATTCCATATCAAGCCACCACGCATTTTAAATTTGTTAAAAATTACTGGACTGGCTCCCGTGTTACAGAGCTTAAAAGGTGCGATGTTCGGCCAGGAAAATTTTGCCTTAGTGGTTTCAAGATGAAGTACAAGGGTTTTACTGAAATACGGCGCAAGTTTACCATTCACATGATTAATTACTAGTGTGTTAATAAACGGCTCAATTTGAGCTGATTCTTAAAAACAGCTACCTCAATATTTTATCCAGAAAAATATTATACAAGCCTAAAGATTTTGCTCAGATGGCACATAGGATTGAACATCTATTGGCGAAATTTCGACGCTCATGGAATATTTTCTTGGCTGTAATGTTGAGTTAGCTGTTTAACAACACTAATTACGAGACACTTAATAATTTAAGTCATCTAAGAATTATATAGCAATCTCTCTCATTCGTAATACAACTGCCATTCATCCCAAAAAATTAATCCTACCTCGGATGGAGTAGAATGACAATATAAGAATCGCAAAAATATTTTTGCCACCATGTGAAGATTATTTCGGGAATAATGACTGAGTGGCATATCTGGACTAAAGACCTGTTTCAGAACAAATAACTTGTCATAAGAATATTTTTGTAAATTCTAAGGAAAATATTAAAGGTACAAGATTATGGAAAGACGAATGTGAGAAAGAGCAAATAAATTTAGAAGAAGGATTCAACAGAACGCAAAAATTAGATATTTTTATATCATTTCTCGGGATAAAATTGAGGCTAAGTTTTATTCAAGTCACTCGAATGCAATCAATGGTTATCATTAATAAAAATGAATATTTGGAAAATTTGTTACATTATTGACACGTCTAAATGGCATTTTTCCCCCCAAAGCCCACTCAGTTTAATTGGTATTTATAATAAGAATTCTAAATATTTTAGTATAAAAGTATCGCGTTATTGGTAATTTACCGATAAAATGTTAACGATAATTTGTAGTTTAGTATTATCGCCATCTATTTTGTGTAAAAATGTCAATTTTTTGTGAAAAAAAAATATACATATTTCGGAAGAACCGTTAGCGTCCTCAATGTTTTCGCGTCGTAATACATTTGTTAAAGGTGCCTAAATAAAAAGGCAATCGCAAATCAACTCCCTCCCTTGCTCAAAAACGCGGGTAAAACAATAATATAGGTAAACCGAAAGCTAAGGCATCGAATTGGCGCCTAATTATTTTTTCCTTATGAGTGACATTTGGAGATTTTTTCCCCCTCAATTTTGATATATTATATTTATTTTTTGACTATAGATAGTTTTTGAGATATAAGCATCTTAAAATTTTACAGATTAGAAAGTTCACTAATTTTCCCAACTTTGAGACCTTGTATTATTAGCAACCAGATATGTTAGCCGAGTTAACTAAAAACGCATTTCTCAAAATTGCTTTAGGATTTTTTTTTTAAATATTAAATGAGTACGTTGATATGGCACATGCCATGTCATCAAAAAGATCTTTGCTTGAATCCTTATCCAGTAAATCTGAATTTTAAATTAAAAACGAAATTTTTATGCCACACACAAGATAAATGCATAACTCCTATGAAAGTTGGGAGGTATTTAACTCTCTGTGTGCTGTGTGAACTGAAAATAGGCATTTATAGAGATTCCTGGAGCTCTAAGCTTGAGTTCCATGATAATTCTGCTTCATGATCATGAGTAATATACATGCATTCTGGTATTGCATATGTTCAAATAAAATTAAAAATTGTCTAGTTTGCATAAGGTTGACAATAGTATAAAAATGGAACTCCCCTTTGGATACAAAGTCCATTTTGAATATTTTTTTAAATAATGAGTTGTCATATTAATCTGATAGGGGAATTTATAGATTCGACAGTCACAATTTTAACACCTTTGAAGCTCTGTATCTCGGGAAAGAGGTGTGCCAGTGCAGGCTAAAATAAATGGCATTCAATTGACTTAGGCTTATTTATCCAGTAAATTTATTGTCATATAAATAAAATGGTTGTATTCCTTTTTATGTTCCATAAATCTTTCTATCATTTAGAAAATAATATCCAATCTAGTTCTATTATAATTACCACTGTTAAACGACTCAAATTAGCAGCTGATTTTAAATTTAGGATCTTAGCTAAAATAATATTATGCAAGCCTCTAGATTTCGTTAATAGATGTCTGAACCTTTCTGCCATCTATGAGAGAAATTTTCAAGCTTACTTAATATTTTTTGGCCAAAAAATATTAAAAATATTGGGTTAGCCATTTTAAAACACGAACTATTTAACAACCACTAATCATGATCTTTGAAAATCATAAACATCTCATAAAAATATATATATTATTAATTTTTAGCATATTTTTTTTAAAAATCATTAAGTTTGTTTTTTTAGATTTATATTTAATATTGACCAATTTTTTTTTTGAACAAAAAAAGAGGAATAATCAGCATAATCCGATAAATATTGATGCATCACAATAAATAATCATAAAATAAGTAAAACAATAATATCAGGTTGCATTTGTTGAAATATTAGCTCTGATCTGATCCAATACTTAATATTGGTAAAGTGGTAAATGATTCTTTCTCCTAATGGCAAAATTTATTTTTTTTTAATTTTAATAAAAGAGAAAACATTGCCTAAACCAATTTTTTTTTAAATAGGTTCTAACTTTATTTTAAGTTATTGTGTGGTTATTGTTATATATTATTATGTATTTTTTTTTGGTTATTTTGTCAAGTCATCAGTATCAAAATTAATATTGATATTTTGTCAAGTCATCATTATCATTATCAAAATTAATATTTTATTTTATGACTAGATAAGATAATTAATAAATTTAATTTATATTTACTGAGAAAAAAGAAGGGCTTAAAAATTTGGTTTTTGTATTTTAATATTATTGTTAAATATTTTGTTTTCTGATTTGATATATGGAATAAAGAAGCATTGACATAGGAAATATTAATATATATAACCCCCCATTAATAATTGTTTTATAACTTATAACCCTGGATAGCTTTAAACTATGAATATTTTTATCAAAATAAATCAATTTTAAAACTTTGGCAGTTTTAGTAACTGATGTAGCTTTCCCAATTTTTTTGAGCATGGGTTTAGTTGATTTATCGATCCCATTGTCATCCATTGGAATAAAATCTTGGATAGGCTCGATGTTAGCTTCTTGTGTAGAATACACATAAGCATTTGAGACATTTTTGTGTTTACCTGTTTGGTTGATGTCCTGGCTAATGTGGTCATTATTTTTATTGAGGGGAAAAATGGGATCATTTGGAAGTGAACAAATAGCATTGTAATTTTGAGAATTAATGAGGGGAGGGACTACATATGTATCATTGTTGAGTAGAGATTTTTTTTCTTGTTTGGGATCTATGATAATGGAATACCTTCTTTTCTTATTCTCTTTCATCAAAACAGCAAATGTGTCTACTAGATTTCTGTTTTCAGGCAAGCCATTATTAGGTATAGAATTTGACAATGGTCTATTGACAAGATTAAAAGTTTTAGCCATATTTTGAGTTGGTACTTTGGAGCTGGGTTTGGGAATGACAAGCTTTTCTTTTTGGCATAATAGTAAATTATTAGGGCTAATTTGTACATTTTTATTGATAACTTTATTAACTTCAATTGGATTTATTTCATTGTTATTATAAGCTAAATCAAATTCATCAACTGGAGCTGATGGTTCTAATCTTAATTGAGAATTGTCAGATATTGGTAAATTTTTAGAATGCTGATTTTGAATACTATTTTCATGAATACTATTTTCATTGTTTCTAATTGAACCATTAGGGATCGATGGAGAATGGGCTGAGAAGGATGTATTTGTTAGAAGAGCAATGTTAATTTTGGTATTAAATTCATTTATTTCTCGGTCCATATTATTTATTTTATTTGTTAATTCAATAAGGGATACATCATAATAAGATTTCAATTCTCTCATGTGTTGATTAACGATTTTGAATTGTTCCCATAACTATATTTTTATATATAAAAATTTGTAATTAGGACAATAAATTTGAATTTGTTAAGCATTTAATTAAGATTATCAAAGAAGTCAAAACTCTATTAATTTCAAATCGTAATATAATTTTTTTTAAATAAAATATAATTTACATTTAATATATTGTCAAATTTATATTTATCCATAACATAGGCATTCAATTTAATCATTAATTCATGATTCTTTGATTGCATATATAACACATTATCTTGCAATAATTTAGTTTCTTGCTTAGAACTTTGTAATGCAGTAGCTAGAGCCTGATTATTCCTTTGAATAGTCATTTGAGCAAATGATGAATTAATACCTAATTAAATTTATGTCTGGGATTTAAAAATATCAAAATTACTTCCCAGTCGTGATTTATACAATATTGACTTATTTCTGGAACGAAATTTTGCACGTCTTTTTGAAAAAGAAGAATTTTTACCTTTCATTTTTTTTGAGGATATACTGGGCAAATCTTCTATGATAGGATTGCTATCGTTAAAAGCATATATTGATTCCTGTAAACATGTGTATTCTATTTATTTTTTTAAAATATATTACATTATTATGGCCATTCAGGTTCTCTTTTGAATTTTGACGTAAATTCATAAAAGTAAAGCGGCAGTTATAATTAAACTTAGTCCACTAGGTAATCTAAACTTTCATCTCATATAACATAGCCAGAGTTATATAAAATATCCAATATTTTGATTATTTTTTGCTCAAAAATTTGGGGATCTTTCAAAATCATAAGGTTTGAAGATCTTCTTTTTTTTTCAAATTTGATTGAGAATTTTGAAGATCATAAATTTAAAGATTTTATTTTTTTTTAAATTTGAGAAATGATCTCTTAAGATCACCACGATTTTTGGATATTAAAAAATTTGAAGATAATAAAACTTGAAGATCGGAAAATTTGAGGATCTTTTATTTTTAAGAACTTTTGAGCAATGATCTTTAACGATTGATGTATTTAAAGATCAGGGCTTTCGCCAGGAATTTCTAGTTGTAAGGGGGGCATCTGCTTTCTTAGATTAATGATAGATATTGCCTTAAGGTTGCACCAATCGAATTTTTATTTTTTGATTTTTCATTTTTGGATATAATATACTACCAAATTTATTTATAATATATATTTGAAAAATAGTGATTTGGGAAAAAGCGTTTGTGGCCTAATCGGCAAGAGCGCTGCTTACAAGTCCGATAGTTCTAGGTTTGAATCCCAGCCTATATCATGTTTTTTTTCCTTAATCCAACTTGGTGGATGATATATTGGAGGCCGGGCTCAACCTATGATAATTAATAAAGGTCTTCTTATTACATTTTAATAAACTTTGTTCGGTATTTAGCATATTTAATTGGTATTTAGAAATTTCCAATATGTTGACTTGTCAGTATTTACCATTAACCCTTTTCTTAGAGGGCCAATCAGAGTTGTACATTTGCTCAAAATAAAAAGATCTTCAAAGATCTTTTATTTTTTAAAAATTTTGTGTAACGATCTTCAAAGATCTTCATTTTTTTACCCCTTTATTAAAAGCCCAGATGTTTTTCAATTTTATTAATATAATATTTCTTTTATGTTTTATACCTCTCCTCCTGCCTTGATGAAAATTGAAAAACATCTGGGCTTTTAATAAAGGGGTAAAAAAATAAATATCATGAAGATTTTTGAAGATCGTTACACAAAATTTTTAAAAAATAAAAGATCTTCAAATTTTACGATCTTCACACTCAAAAATCTTCAAAGAAGATCTTTTGTACAACTCTGGGGCCAATATTGTTTAAATAAAATAACTAGTTAAGCACTCATAGAAATATCTTGCTATTTTTATTAAAATTGGTTGCTTGGCAGTATCTATCATTATCCGCTTTCTTAGGGGTGCTAATAGAATATTTTGCTATTTTGATTAAAAATTTGTAAACAATTTTAAATTTACAAAAATGAATTAAAAATTCTGTATTATTTTTTCTCCATAGGCCATTATTATTAAATTTTGTTTACGTTGATCTTACATAGATACTGTAGTGCGATAGAAGTCTCTTTAGTATGGAGAATGAGGTTCCACCAAATACGTGGATACAAGATGATGGCTGCTGGCTAGCATTTTTTGCAAGATGATATTTTTTTTATATTCATAATATTTACGATATTTTTAAAATTATGTTTCTTTAACTTCTGCAACTAATATTCCTTTTGCTATTTTCATTTCACACTGTAACGTTTCCATATTTAAGTTTGATGATTCTAATGGGGTAATGTTATCTGATATAAAATAATCAACGTTAAGGGGGAACATTGTATTAAAACATGATAGAAGATTATAGTCCTCATGTGTAAATATATCTAAAAAACGATCTTCAAAATAATTAATAATTATTTTTTAAAGAACTACAATTAAATTCATTTTCACAATAAAAATCAATTGGTACCGACTAAAAAATCTTAAAGATTTGTAGGCGTTTTACATACCCTTGATGATTTTTGAGGAAGAATAAATTTTTTTAAAGGTTTCTCTGCCTTAATTCTAATTAAATCAAAAGATTTATTATTTCTTTTATTTTCTAATTTATTAATTGAGAATCAACACAATTTTTAGCATCCATGATATTAATCCACAATGTAGACACTTATTAAGTGGATTTATTGTTATTAATACCTCATAAATGGGTCAATATTTATATAAAAGATCAGATGGGTCCACTGATTTATAAGTGAAAACCTATGAGTTAAGAGTTTCATTAGATGAGTACTTCATAAATAGCCTCAAAATTCTTATAAATGATACGAGATGTTTCCAAATGACCAGTCAACTCCAAAAGTCTCTTAAGAGTATGGCATGTATATTTACAGGATACGTTGAAACGACTAAAAAAAATTTGCAATGCATTAGATAAAATGACAATTTAAATCAAGCAAATCACGATTTAAAAACAAAAAAAAATACTACACAATTTAAAACACATCAAAGATAATATTTTTTAAAATCATATTAACAATTTATCATATAAGAATTAGAGGTCCATGTCAAGATATTTAATTGAGGTGCTAAATACCGGCCCAAAAGACTGCGCTACAGAAGCCATAGATATATTATCAGAAATATGCATCTCGATATTTAATATAGTCCTCGTGTAAAACCTGAGGGATCAATTAATAAATAATGGGATATGATATATATTATATTCCCGTCCCGATAAACTCATTTTTTTTTAAATGCTAAATCAAAATTTTTCATACAAGCCGTTGAAAATAAAAATATTTGTAATAGCCGCTAGGCATTCACATATTTTATAGTATAAAATGTAGCAAAAAAAAAATATTTAACGAATAGGGGATATAAATATAATTAATCATAAATAAATACAATTTTTTTTTATCTAATTAAACAAGTTTAAATAACTTAATTTTTGTGAGAATATAAATATTTATATAAATACTAGGCATCAATTATTAATGAATTAATATATATTTTTTAAGGAAAAAATGTTTGACTTTGGACAGACTTAATTATAGAAATAATATTTCTTTAAAAATTTTAAAAATCGAATCGGGAATTAACAAAATATGTTCGCTCTGTGAATTTTTTTTTATTAGTTTACCATGAATTAATTTCATGACTTGTGAGATCCAAATATGGATTTTTCGCTAACCACGAGGACTCAAGTAAATTTTGATATTTTACCAACGCCATCTTTCCTACACCTGGGGCAGAACCATTTCCCCTTAGGTTTGTGTGTAAGGGAAACGCATTCGAAGTGAAACCATTCAATGACACAAGCTGGGTTGTCGCAACCAATCATTTCTCCGTAGCTGACCCTTTGGCATAAACAATATATGGGCTCGTCGGGATCGACGGGCTTGCCTAAAAAATAAGTTTCTTCTTCGTTGTCATCGTCTTCCTCATTCTCCTCATCTTCTTCGTTCTCTTCTTTCGCGTTCTTCTCTCTGACCGAATTTTCTTGTCTTCTTTCGGTGATTTCTTCTTTGCAATCTGCATCCTCTTCGCTTTCCCGATTGTTCCTACGTAAGGCAACGTTCAACTCCTCTCGAGACTTTTTAGCGCAAAAACGTCTTTTGGCGCGTTTTTTCTTGCGCTTAGAATTTTCATCCGACGCGAGTGATCTAGAGCCGGAAGAGGAATCTAAATCGTCATCGTGCTCGCTATGTTCGGAATGAACAGCGGCGATCTCTAAATCTGGCGCCAAATTATTTTCGGAGAGAGGTTGTGGCGCACTCTCGTGCTCGGCTCTCTTGGAAAACCGTTTGGCGTAACGGGTCCGGTCACTGGCGGGCTTGTTATTATTGTTACGAGGAGAGGAAAGGGTCTTTGAATTATTGAGCAAGTAGAGCCTTTTCTTGAGCGCGTCAAATTTGTTCTTCATGTTCGTAGAATTTGGTGTGCTACCACAATTTTTAGTGCTATTTTTATATTCGCTGCTAATAGAAGTGTTTAATTTGCTAGAACTGGTGTTTAAAAGTGGGATAGTAGATGTGGACGAATTGGTGTAAATAGGACGAGGCGATTTCTTGTTCCTTGAGTACGAGGCTGGAAGGGAATTGCTAAGTTTCGAATTCGATAAAGCGACGCTTCTGATATTATCCTGGAAATCCTTATTAACTTCCATATTGTTTTCCGTAGTTGGGTCTCTTTCGATTGGATGCTTGGTGGAATAAGAAGTGTTGTAAGGTTTGCCATAGCTCTGGGCATATATATTTGGGCTTTTGCCATTGAAGGTTAGGGATTTTTCCTCCAATAATTCCTTTCTCTATGATAAAAATTATATATATATATATAATATAGTATAGTATAGGTTTAGAAAAAAATTTGATTGAGTTTTTTTTTTTAAATAAATTCCTAAGTTGTAATGCGCAATGTAAGCAACTATTTTTGTAGATCCATTCCATGTCAAATTGATCAAGATTCAATTGACCATTTGGGATTTAGATAAAATTTTGTATACAAACTAAGATACACGTAATAAAAGCTTTGTCCAAATTTTAGCATCCTAGTCTCATATATCCTCTTCAAACCTGAGGTAAAGCAGGTTAAATAATATATGTCGGATGGGGAATTCGGAATCTCTTGATCTTAAATCCTTTACTAAGGGCGATTCAAAAAATTTTAAAATCTGATTTAATCTGAAATGTTTTCAAGCATGTGTAGAGCATTTTATTTACCCTATAAATTTGAGCCAATTTCAGCCACAGACATTTTAGTATTTTTTTTTTAATTTATATGAAAAATCCCTATAAAAATTAATATAAATTAGAAGTAGTTCTAAATTTCATGGCGAAATTGGCTGAAATTCATAGGGTAAATACTCTACACATGCTAGAATACATTTCCGATTAAATCGGATTTTTAAAATTTTTTAAATCGCCCTCGGTAAAGGATTTAAAGATCAAGAGATTCCGAATCTCCATACGACATATATATATATCAATAAATTTAATCAATTTTTCTTTATTAAAATGTCATTGTCTATATATATATTTAGTGTTTAATGTGTATCATATTTGATATTATAGTAAGATATTCGTATAAATTTATTATATTTTATGAAATTTATATACAGATTCCACATTTATATAAATGTGAGAGATTTAAAATCTTGATATAATGATAACATCATATGATCAATAAGGGATGGGAAGGGAACAACTAAATGATTTAAAAAATTATTTTTTTACATGAAAAAACTATACGTTTCTACGCGTCCCCGTTCAAGATACAATTTTTTTTTAAATAAAAGTAGATTCATATTTATGAATATAGAAAATGTTTTTTTTTGATTTAAAAAAAAGTGGTAACTTAGTAAAATTTTGAAAAAAACACTTTTTTCTTCATTTTTTTGACTAAAATACGCGTCCCCGGTCAAGATAGATTATTTTTATAAAAATGAATATAGAATCGGGTATAGTTTTTCAAGGAGATTCCGAAAATGGTATTAATAATTTTTTTTTGACTAAACTACGCGTCCCTAAAGCGTAGGAACGCGTTAATACCATTTTCTGAATCTCCTTGATAAACTATACATGATTCTATATTCATTTTTATAAAAATAATCTATCTTGACTGGGGACGTGTATTTTAGTCAAAAAAATGAAAAAAAAAGTGTTTTTTTTTAAATTTTACTAAGTTAACTACTTTTTTTTTTAAATCAAAAAAAAAACATTTTCTGTATCCATTTAATGAGATAAATATGAATCTGCTTTTATTTATTTTAAAAAAATGTATCTTGACCAGGGACGTATAGGGACGCGTAGCTTTATTTAAAAAAATAATTTTTTAAAAATTTTACTAAGTTATCATTTTTTTTTAAATCATAAAAAACATTTTCTATATTCATAATAATGAGCTAAATATGAATCTGCTTTTATTTTTTAAAAAAAATTGTATCTTGACTGGGAACGCGTAGTTTTTTCATGTAAAAAAATAATTTTTTAACTCATCTTATAAAGCTAAATAAGATTTTTTATTAATATTATATAAATTAAACCCGTTTGACCGGGGACACGTATTTTAGTCATGCCCTAAAACAAATCACAAAATTATTTTTTGTATAATATCAGAGAAACTCATTACAAGGATTTTGAATCTTAGAAGGAGGTTATATGAACAGCAACAAAAAAAATGCACATTAATTTGATATTAGAAAGATTACTGTAATCAGTAGTTTTTAGAAAATATTTAATTGAATGACAAATATTAAAATATTCACCTCCTTTATATCTTCAAAAATATAAGCGTTAAGATAAATTTTGACTACTTTAGTTACATGTTGTATACAAAATTTCACCTAGGATTAGTTGAAAATAATGTTTTTTTCAAATTAATTTATTAAAATATTTATTCTCAAAAGATTTACCTTCTTTTTCTTTCTCTTTGCTTTTATTGCATCTATTCGATTCATGTTATCTTCTTGGTTTGATTGATGCTTTTTATATTTTTTAGTGTAAAAGGAGGAATTTTTTGAAGGATCATCAATGTCATTTTCGTAACTAAGGCCAATATTCTTGGATTTAATATTTGGTAGCTCATTTTGATCTTCATTATCTGAATATTCATAATCTTTATAACTATTAAGATCCTTAAAGTTTTGGTTTGTGAGCAATTGAAATCTTTGACTATCCCCATAAATGTAATGAGAATCTATTTGACTTCGGCTAGAGCTGACCCCTTTAATTCTCCTATGTCTCTTAGATCTACCATTGGTAGTTAATTCATCAATCTTAATTTTATTTTTTTCATCAATATGAGAATTATTCAGGCTACTATCAAGAAAATGTAAATTTGAATGCTTGTATGATAAGTTTTTAGCAGAAAAATATTCTGGATCATTATAAAATTTGTTATTCAGATGTCCATAATAATAGTATGGTAAGTTTTGTATGGAATTGTTGGCAATTATATTTTGAGTAGGAGAATAATAGGGGGAATTGCTGATGCTTTTATGTGAATTAATATCATCTAAATCTGTCATAGGGCTACAAATGCTATACATAGGGGTATTGTTAGCTGATGAAAAAGTATTAGTGTAATAAGGATTATAAGGTGATGAGTTCATTTTTTTATATAATATATGAGATTTGGTGGGTTGATTTATAATTTGAGGCAGTTTTATTTGGTCAGTTGGCAAATTGAAAAATATGTTCTTGAGTGATTCATTCATTTCTAAATAATATTAAGTATAAAATTATAGTAATGTAATAAATACCTATAGCTTTTCTGTCGTTATTTAAAAGTTTTACATTTGCGTCAATAATTTCAAATATACTAGAAGAGAGTTTCAATTTTTCATCACCAATATCTTGCAATTTGTCAAATAGCTTTTCAAGCTTATCATAACTTTTTTTAGTAACAACTAATTCATCATTTTCATTCTTTTCTTTTTCTTCTTTAATATTCTCTATTAAATCTAATAGCAAATAGTAATATGTAAATTATTAAATTTATAATTTATTTAAACCATTAAACTTGGAATCATATTCAAATATTTCACTAATGTTCTTTTGAATATCATTGGATAGAGAGTCCGTTATATTTATAAAATTCTGTACGTATGTATTAGCAATTGATAAATCTTCAGTAGATATAGACATTGATTATTGTCTCTTACAAAAAATTTCCAAGTTTAAATAGTGCTTAATATATTTTGATTGCCATCTCAGGAACCATATGACATATGTAAAACAACCGACATGAGGGTAAAAATTATCCAATATACAAGATATTCTCTTATCTTTCTAGCAGGAAATTTTTAAGCACTCATTATATTGTTAATATGTAGTTGGGGGTGGGGGAGAGGCACGCAGTACCTGCATCGTTTGAATGGCACAGCATTCACTATTAAAAAATTTGAAATTTTTTTAAATTATATTTTATCATATAATTAATATATTAAATAAATCTTATAAAATATTTTATAAACAAAATAGTAGTACATTAAAAAATTGTACATTTTTAATTCAAATCCCTACCCTATTTTAATTGGTTCTAAATATAGATATCCAACCTATATCGAACGATTAGATCATAGTATTGCTTAAGTCACAGTTTAGAATTACCGATGTCCAATGCAATAGAAAGTGTTACAATCGTTAATCACTATAAAGTCTTTTTTGATGCAAAATATAGTCTAACTAATATCCGTTATAAAATTCCTAATGTTGATATGTTTATTAACATTATACAACGTATGATTTTTATTAAATTTTGTAAAATTTTGTATTTACTGTAAATTTTTGTTTATTTGTGCACCAATCAACTTTATTTATTTAACTTAATTTCATATTAAACAATTTCAATAAATTTACTTAAAATGCATTTATGTATAAACCTCTAGTAAAATAATAATACTTTTATAGTTAGAAAATATTTCATTTCTAATATGGCACCCTTGCCGTGTAAATAACTCAAGGCTTCAATATATTTGCATAATTATTTCTTCCAAAGATTTTTAGTATTTTTATTTTATCAATTTATCCAACATAATAAATTCTGATATAAATTTTCATCGTGAGTGTCATAACTATGATTGCAAATTAACCAGCATATTATTTGTGTTGCTATGTAATTTAAGATTATTATTATAGATGCCGAGAGCATATGATTGCATATTTTAGACAAACAAAATGGTCAATTGTGTAGTCGTTTATATATCATTAAAAATGGAAGATAAACTTTAAAAAATTTAATATCTCACAATAATTTTCTTGATTACATTTCTAGCTTCCATCATGTCATCTAGGAGGAAGCTCTAACCACCATATAATTTTATGATTTGGATTGGTCGTTTATACTCTCTTCTTCAAGAATTGTTGATTCGGTTTAGGTCTATTAATTTTTCCTTATTAGTCTATTCTATAAAACATTGTCTAAAATGGTAATAGAGTGTTATATTAGTTTCATGACCTTATGTCAATATACTTGCTAAGAATTGTATAGCCTTATGTGGTTTTTCCATTATCAATTGAGGCATATGTATGAATTAATTAAACTTTTTTATCACTGGCAATTATACGCAAAATTTTTTTATTATCAGCAATCGAAAATATTTTATACTGTAATATATAGATTTTGTATTAAAAAATATTATTTTTAGAAATGTCTTGTATTGTTTATAATTCATTAATATGCTAGATTATTTTGTATACAAAATATAATAAATGACAAAATATGGAATTTAGAATAATTTAGCAAATTTTAAAATAGTAAAAAATATTAATGTAAAACCCGGCTGAAGGCCTGCAAAATGGGGGTTATGGGGGGCAAAGCCCCCATAATTTTTCTTTTAGTTGAACCCCCTCAGATTGTAAAGGCCAGCGATGCCCCTGAAATGAATGTTTATTTAATATTTCTAAGGTGGAATATATATAAATAACCCATAAGAAAATAAATTAGATTTAATAAAACCGAGAGAAAACAAAGACACTCGTAATCAACGAAAATCTAATTGATACTGCCTTAATTGACAATATGCGAAATAAATGGATGCTTATACCTGTTATAAATAGTTTTATTTATTAATATTAGATAAAAATTTTTGTGTGAGTCATGAAATATTTTTTTTTGTTTGGAATTTAATTTTTAATAATTTTTTTTTAAAAGTTTCGCGCAGTCATCATGAACATTACTATATAAATATTTTTAATATTTATTATGTAAAAAATAATTTAATATTTATAAAGTAAAAAAATAATCATATATAAACTGAAAAAAAAAGTGGAAATCGAGATTATTATAATTATATTTTTTTTTTAAAATCCTTCTTTCTTGAAAACAAAAAATAAAGACGAGATATTAATCCTTGTTGTGAAATTAATAAAAAAAAAAGGTAAAAAAAAAATAAAGACTTTGCGTTTTTAAATAATAAGAACTGCTAAGTTAAACGTTTATACTTTGAAACTTTGAAAATACCGATATCTACTAATAAAAAATACTACATTAAATATAGTTTTATTTATTTTTATAGATAACTTGTCTGATATGAGACATTTAGTAAAAGATAAGTGGCCAGAAAACCTTTACATTCATTATGGGTAAAAGAAAATGAAACAACTTTGTTTCCGACTGAATCTATGTGTGGATCTCTCAATAAATGGGATGAGGTATTATAAAAAGGATAATAATGAAAATAACTAAATGCCCCCATGTTTTGAAAGATTTTTAAAATTGTATTAACAAAATTCCCCTTTACAGCTGATTTATTTTTTATTTTTAGCCCCCCCCCCTAAATATTTTAAGAAAAGGGGAGGCCTCTGGCCTTTATGTGGGGTGGTGGCGTAATTTTAAAATCTTATTCAATCATATTTATATATTCAATTATTATTTTTTTATTGATTACTAAATAAGAATTGTTTTGGTATATAATCATATTTTAGATTTTGAGTAGTACATAAATATAATGCATATTATTATTCTTATCTCTATTTCACCATTTCAAACCCCCTATATAAATTACTCTATCTAATAATTTATAAAACATTTTCAATAACGAATGGGATGAAACTAGCGTTACTAAATCGATTCAGAGATCACCCCAAAAGAGATCAAAAATTAATTTTGGTTTATTATTTCACAGTGAAAAAATATACAAATAATGTAATCTGATGACTTAGATATTTGTATGTCTAAAATAAAATGTGCAAAAAAGGATTGACAATAATTTTATTTATTTAAAATATTTTGAACATAAGATATTAACGACACTACTTGATCCAAGATTTTAAAATCTTAATATTGTCTTAGAATATTTAAATTGGAGATCTAATACATGTTGCAATGTTTTAATTTTGCATTTAAAACTTATAAAGCAAGAAAGAAATGTATATACAGTTAAGGTGCAAACATCCAATTCAATTCATATGTGCTCAATAGCTCGTAACATTCCTTTATAATCAACGATTATTATAGCAATAGAAATATAGAGCAGAAATGCCATATTTTACTCTGCCAACATACTCAACAAAAAAAACACCTACATTTTGTAAAAAACGACTAGAATATTATAGACTTGCTAATTTAGCTAGGGAAGTACATTGCATATCTTCTACCAGTACGCTTATTGAAAAAATCTTTTTCATCCCAGAAATAATACTCAATGTCAAAAGAACCTCTTTCTGCCTCATTAATCTCGACAAAATAATATTTATTCACGGCTATTATAATTGTAAATTTGTTTTCTAATTTATTAATATTTCTCACTTTATATTTTTTTTGCATTCCATGGTTCAGTTCCATTCCTGGCTTTGATTTAAAATTTTAAATGCCTTATTTCCGGTATGTGAATGTTCCTTTCCGTTCGTTCTTTCATTCGTTCGTTCATTAGATAATAGATAACAAATTAATTAACTAGTACAAATTGCATCCTTAAAAAGTGTTTAGTTAAAAAAAATTAACTTTGTTAATTAACATTTTTTAGAAGAAACGAGTTGAATAAATTAAATTTAAATTTTAAAGAAATAGCCGCATTTATATATATATATATATATATAATTACTATCATTTATATAAAAATTAAACATTTTATAGTATTTTAAAATATGGATATCTCTGGGTGTAGCCTTGACACTTTTATATAATTTAGTAGTGGTGGCATAAAAAAAACCAGTCAAATAAGATTCGGACATTTTTGGAAAATTTGATATCAAAATTAGTTAGATCAATCACTGTGAAATTGTAAACGAATTATAAATAACTGATTTTTGTCCTCAAGGACAGGGGTTGAGAGATTGCTAGTAAAGTTGTGAAAATGAAAATTTTTATTCATATTTTCCGTGGGGGGAGGGGGGCAAGGTCAACTCATACCCCCTTTGTCTATTCCCGATATAAAGATAATCGTTACCTTTTAACAAATAACTTAATTACAATGACTGATTACATTTTTCGAAAGTAACAAATTTATGGAAAAAAAAGATAACTGTTATGTAAATCTGTTTGACTGGACTTGTAAAGTTTTGGTTCTCTCCTTTCGAAATTATATTTATATAATGGCCCGATTATTATGGTTACCGCTTAGAAAGGTAATAACCATTCATTACGTTTCCGAGGGCTCGGTTTGGTTAGACACTCTGATAAAAAGTCTCGACCAAACCATAATTATAGGAAATTTTAATAAGGCTAAAAGAAGATTTTAAGGCTGCAATCAATTTCTAAAGAAAAAAAAAGGGTATACTTATGTAATCTTCTTACTCTTCCCAATACAAATCGAGACATTGTTTCATCGGGTATAAAAAATAAAATAGGTGAAATACTCTGATATCATGACCAACTGTAATTTTATATTATTTTTTTTACGAATTTTAGTGTTATCGCGCTTACGTTCATATATAAAAAAACGGGAAAAATCATAATTCCATTCAAAACTGAGACTTTGCCAGTAACAGGTTTCTCTAACTGATACAAAGAATAGCCAATGAAATCACACGAGCTTAACTGACGGGCTACATCCTGACCTTACATCCCTCGTGATAAAATCTTTTAAAATGAAAATATTAAATTTGGTATACTTACCGTTATCAATTTTTTTTACATAAAATTAACTCATTCTTTGCCCAGGTGGCAAGCAAGGTTATACTTGTTCATTTCATCTTTTAAAATTAAAGACAGATTTGAA